ATTGCTCTATATGTATGTAATATATACATGATATGTTTCGTATGTACATATATACAGAAGTTACATAAAAATAAGTTGTATTTGTAAGTTCTTAGAACAGTACTTGGTCCTTAGTAAGTGCTATATAAGTATTTGTTAAATACAAATGAAATAAAAATAAGCACAGTAAAATGGGAAATTCAGGAGTATATACATCAATGGAGATAATCTGGAAGAAGACTGTGTGAAGAAATGTAGATGCCAGCTCTGTGATGCCTGGGAGACCTCCCCGAGCACCCCCGAGCACCCCCAGCACCAAGCACAATGCCTCAAACCAGCAGATGCTCAAAATACTGGTTTCTGCAAAGGCCTGAAAGGTCAGGGGTGTTTTGTTATGTGGGATGGAGGCAAGGACCACATGAACAAAGACCTAAATGGTGAAAACTCACTGTATCTGGCACAGTAGCTTGCTTACATAGAACTTGGTTGGTATATGCTGACTGACCATCAACACTCAATAACTAGTTTGGTTTGGCTGAAATGTGTCAGTTGGGTCCAGACAGAAAAACACATCACTCTAGAGAATTTAATATAGGGAATTTGTGCCCTGGCCGGTTTGACTCAGCGGTTAGAGCGTCGGCCTGCGGTCCGGAGAGACTCGGGTTCAGTTCCCGCTGAGGGCATGTACTTCGGTTGCAGTTTGTCCCCGGCCCTGGTTGGTCGTGCGGGTGGCAGCCGCTCGATGTGTCCCTTCACATCGATGTTTCTGTCTCTCTCTCCCTTCCTCTCTCTCCCTCCCACTCTATCTGAACAAAAAATGGAAAAATGTCCTCGAGTGAGGATAAAAAAAAAAATATATATATATATATATAGGGAATTTGTTACACAGGTGATGGAAATGCTGAAGGTGTAGGCCACCCAGAGATTGCAACAGTAGGAAACCTCTATCACCCCTGGTGCCGGAGAGACAATGGGAAGAGACGAGCCAATAGGTGGGGAGCTGTCTGGTTGGGGCTGGGAAATGTCAGAGCCACAACCCAACCCAAAGCAGAGAGGGAGAAAAATACCCTGACTTCTCCCCCTTTCTCCTGCCCTCCAGTCTTAGAGCATTTCTTACCGGAAATACACTTGGCAAGGGAATTCGAGAAATATAGCTTCCTGCAACTCAAAGCAAAGCAGAAACAGGCAAATGATCAGCACAGATAAAGTCTGGAGCGTGAACAGGGGAATGGTGAGTGCAAACCTGTGTCATTTTATAGAGGGTCTTGAACGTCAGATCTTGAATGTAGGGTTTTCCACATGTTTTATTAAGCAAAGGTGGGCCATAGAAGGTGAAAATGAGGGAAGGCATCATTAAAACTGTTTTAGGAAGACTTGCCCAATGGGGGCGTGGATGTTAGAGAATAGGGAAGTAGTAGCTTTCTCTTAGTACCTGTTATGTGCCAGGCACAGTGAGCCCTAAGTGCTTATTTAACCATCTCAGAAAGATGATGTTTCTGGTTCTGGATATGAGATGATTTCATGATACCTGGGTGAGTATATTGCAGCTGTTAGAATAATGTGTGTCTGGAGCAGGGCTGTAGAGATAAAGGATGGAGTCTTTGGAGTCTTCTGCAGAAAGGTGAGAGCATAAGTTGAAAGAGAGGGATGACAAGAGTCTCAAGTCAGACAGTATAAAGAATATAAGAGGGCAGACATTATGGGAAACCAAGGATGGGCAGAGTAAGAAAATCAGTGAGGGAAAAAGAGAGAGAGAAGCGGAAAAGTTTCTCTTCCTGCAGAAGCCAAGAGAAGCTAGAGCTTCAAGAAGGGAAAGGTCAGTAATGTCAAATAACATTTCCTGGTCAGAAGAGATAAAGACAGAGAAAAAAGCCATTGAATTATAGCAGTTGGGATGCATATAGGAATACTTTCTCTAGACAGGTGGAGGTAAGGCAGGCTTAAGCAGATGGCCTTGGTTGGTTAAGTAGGGGACGGTAATGTGCTGAGGGTAGGAGTGGGTGTTGGGAGGCCTCTGGGAGAATATGAGCATGCTGTTTATTTCCTTTGAGCTCCTGGGGTGTAGGGACTATGTCTTCTTCACTGGTGTACCCTGGTGCTTCAGTAATGCATAGGACTCAATTTTGTGGTGACTGGCTGACTTGTGGAATGAATGAACGAACAAACGAACGAACGAATTTGGTGGGAAGTAATCCGAATTGAACAAAAGAATAGTAGAGCAGCAGTGAAAACTCAACCGAAAGTCAATAGCTTCATTGTACTTACCCAAATCTCAGTAATCTGGACAGAAGTAATAGGGCTGGGATTGGCAGGTAAGGGTAAATGAAAAACAAAGCTAGAGAATAAGGAGACTAATGGTATATACAAAGAATTTTTGAAATGTCTGACCAATTGGTCCAAATTGGTTAGGGAGGAAAATGAATCCTGATGGGGGGTGGAGGGTTGGGAGAGTAAGGGTGGTTGAGATGCTTGAGATCATGAGTTCAGAATCTTTGGGGTTGGTTTCAATATTGTTGAAACCACCTCAGATAATTCCAAAGTACAGCTAAATGTTGGGTTAGAAGGGACTGGAGGGACTCTAACAGGAAAGTGGATTAAGATAGTCAGAGGTCAGAATCCTGATCACTGAAGTTTTTGTTTTTTAAAATGTTTTTATTGATTTTTTAGAGAGAGTGATAGAAACACAGATGAGAGATACATTGGCTGCCTCCTTCCTGCACGCCCCCTACTGGGGATCAAGCCTGCAGTCGGGCATGTGCCCTGATCAGGAATTGAACTGTGACCTCTCAGTCCATGGGAGGACGCTCAGTCCACTGAATCCACTGAGCCACACCGGCTGGGCCGATCACTGCAGTTTTAAGTAATGAGGCTAAGGCCATGGCAGTGATTAACTGAGGTGCAGTGGAAATGAGGATAACTGAAATTGATGAGATTGAGCTTGAGAAATTGTAGGGTCATCTTGATTTAAATGCCTCTGGCTAAAGCAGAAAAATGATTTCACTAAAAGAAAAACCAAGTATCAACCCTAAAGGACTATAGTCAGGTAAAATACGTAGAAAGGGCTTAAGTTATGATCCACTGAAGGACAAGGAAAGGCACTGGGACAGTTTAATAACATTTTTACCATTTTCACTTTATTTATTCACCTGCTACCCTCCAGATCAGGCAGCTGAGGTGACCTGTCGAGTAGGAAGTGGCACATTTGGCTGGAAGGGCAGACATTACAGATAAACTCCTAGCCACCCCCCACACCCCACACCTTTGGCAGTCATTAGCTTGTTCTCCATATCTATGGGCTTGTTTCTGTTTTGCTTTATTTGGTCATTTTTGTTTTTTATTTTTAGATTCCACATATAAATGAAATCATATGGCATTTTTTCCTGACTTATTTCAATTAGCATAATACCCTCTAGGTCCAACCATGTTCTTGAAAATGGGAAGATTTCATTCCTTTTATTGCTGAATATGCTATGGGTGTGTGTGTGTCTGTGTGTTCACGTCTTTATCCATTCATCACATATTGATGGACACCAAGGTTGCCCCCCTATCTTGGCTATTGTAAATAATGCTACAGTGAACATAGGGGTGCAGAGATCTCTTTTGAGATAGTGTTTTTGTTTTCTTTGGCTACATACCCAGAAATGGAATTACTGGATCACATGGCAGCTGTACTTTTACATTTTTTTTTTTTTTTCTTTCATTGATTTTTTTAGGGAGAGAAGATAGAAACATTGATGTGAACCCTGGCCAGTATGGCTCAGCAGTAAGAGCATCACCCATGGACCACAGTCCTGGGTTTAATTCCAGCCAAGGGCACGTACCTCAGTTGCAGTTTGTCCCTGGCCCCAGTTAGGGTTGTGCGGGTGGCAAACAATCGATGTGTCTCTCTCACATCAATGTTTCTCTTTCTCTCTCTCTCTCCCTCCAGCTCTATCTGAAAATTAATGTAAAAAATATCCTCAGGTGAGGATTAAAAAAAAAAGACACATTGATGTGAGAAACATCGTTTGGCTGCCTCCTGCATGCCCCCCATTGGGGATCGAGCCTGAAACCTGGGCATGTGCCCTGACTGGGAATTGAACCAAGACCTCTCAGTCCATGGGATACTAAGTCCACTGAACCACACCAACTGGGCAGCAGCTTTATTTTTAACTTTTTTGAGGAATCTCCATACTGTTTTCCATAGTAGCTGCACCAATTTACAATCCCACCAACAAAAGGGTTCCCTTTTCTCCACATCCTTACCAGCACTCGTTATTTGTTCATTATTATAGCCATTCTGATGGGTGTGAGGTGGTATCTCATTGTGTTTATTTATCCTCACCCGAGGACATTTTTCCATTTTTTGTTCAGATAGAGTGGGAGGGAGAGAGAGAAACATCGACGTGAAAGGGACACATCAAGTGGCTGCTACCCGCACAACCCGACCAGGGCTGGGGACAAACTGCAACTGAGGTACTTGCCCTTAGCGGAAACCAAACCTGGGTCTCTCCGGACCACAGGCTAGTGCTCTAACCGCTGAGCCAAACTGGCCAGGGCTCATTGTGGTTTTTTATTTGCATTTCCCAGATCAGTGATTTTGAGCATCTTTTTATGTCTGTTGGCCGGCTACATGTCCTCTTTGGAGAAATGTCTATGCAGGTTCTCTAACACTTTTAACTGAATTTTTTTTGATGTTAAGTTATACGAGTTTCTTATGTATTTTGGGTATTAACCCCGTATCAGATATATCATTTGCAAATATCTTCTCCCATTCAGTAGGTTATCTTTTTGTTTTGTTACTGGTTTTCTTTGCTGTGCAAAAACTTTTTAATTTGATGTGGTTTTTATTTTTGTTGTTGCCCTTGCCCAAGGAGACATATCCAAAAAGATATTGCTAGGACTGATTTCAAAGAGTTTACTGCCTGTATTCTTTTAGAAGTTTTATAGGTTCAGGTCTTACATTTAAATATTTAATCCATTTTGAGTTTATTTTCATATATGGCCTGGTTCTTTTTATTTTTACATTTGTCTGTCGTTTTCCCAGCACCACTTATTGAAGCCAAGGTTTTGATAAAGCTTCACATTCCAGAGGTGAGCTATGACTTGTTCTTCTAACTCATTACCTCAGTCACCCATTTTGGTATATATGTATACATGAATGTAACATACACACACATACATAAATTTAAGGGAAAAAAATAAATCTGATGACACCCTAATCTTAAGATACAGAAAAATTCTAGTTAACCACAATGTGTTTTGTTTGTTGTGTACGTTACTCCTCTGAACTTGCTTGAGTTGGGGGTGGGGGGGGTGGATGTAGGACAGAGGAAGAGACTACACAAAATTTCAGATGTCAGCTTCTTTTCATATAGATAGCTACTTGTACATATTTCTTTTCTGTCATTTAAAAAGCTCGAGGAATACCTTTCAAAGTCCTTTGTGGTATTCACTGTATATGATAGCTAAAATTCATATGGTAATTGGAATTAGATATAACCATTGTTTTCATGTCAATATTTCATTTTTTCTTTCCTTAATGATCAAGACCTCAGAATTTCAGTATGTTGCATGGGGTTCAATGTTAGAAATTTGGTGCTTGAGTCCTACCAGTCCCTGCTTTGCAAATCTTCTAAAGAGGTTGTAACCGTAAGAGCAGCCAATGGGAAAGTATCACTCAGGGTGCTAGAAGAGCACCTGACTGCAACACTTCTCAGGTAAGCCATAAAGAACAAACCATCTTCCCTACGCATTACCCCTTACATTAATAGAAAAAGCCTGGTTCAGGAAAGCTGCAAGTCCACTTTCCCCTTGTTTGGAAGATGACAGGCTTGCCCCCTACTAGGGCGAGTGTGACTACACATTGTTTCTGACCTCCTAATACAACAACCGTGTTCACTTCAATCTGGTCACTTCCCTTACCTTAGAGGGGAGAATATGAAGCAGGCATGTGGGAAGTAGAACTTCCTAAATACTATGTGTTGAGCCCATTTAGCCATGCTAGAACCTTCAGTAACACACAGTTTGTGGGTTTTGTTTTGGTTTTAGAGCCATTTTTATGTTCTGCTGTTTAAACTGAAGAAAAATGTCAATTGTCATCATCCTTTTAAGAGAACATTATAGACACTTCCAGTCAAGATGGCGGGTAGGTAAACCTGGTATCGCGTCCTCCCACAACCACATCAAAGTTACAACTAAACTACAGAACAACCATCATTCAAAACCACCTGAATCAAGCTGAATGGAAATCCTACAACTACGGAATTAAAGCAACAGCCACATCGATACTGGTAGGAGGGGCTGGCCCCACACCCACGTGTGGCGGATAAAAATCAGGAGGACACCTCAGCTGAGAAGGTCCTCCCTGAGGACTGAGGGGTCCCCGTCCCACACTAAGCGCCCAGCTCAGGGTTCCAGTGCCAGGAAGAGCAGTCCCCATAACTTCTGGCTATAAAACCAGCGGGAACTGAGGCTGAGAGACGCTGAGGCAGCTGGAGCCCCAGGCAGCTCCTCTTTAAGGGCCCGTACATGCATTTATTGGACTCTCTCCCTCTCAGCTTGGAGGGGAGGCAGCTCGAGGGGCACCAGAGACATACAGGGAAGAACTGAGCTGTTTGGCACTGGAGTGAGGGCTGGAGAGGGGGCTTTCTCTGGAACAAATGTGCTGTCAGAGGCCTTTCTTTGTTCCTTTGGTGAGCCCTTCCCTGGGGCAGCAGATGGCCGCCATATCTGGGACTCCAGCAACCTGGCTCACACTGGTAGCCAGCCCTGGTGATTCCCTGAGGCCCCGCCCCACTCAACTTTCAGGCCCACCCAAGCTGTTGCCAGTTGCTTAACTATGATTGGCCTGTCTTGGATCCTGCTTCAGGTTTTCCTAAATCCTTTCCAACAAGCAGCATCTGTTCTCAGCTAGCCCCATACCTCTCGTTAAGTAATACACAGAAACAAACACAGGGAGGCAGCCAAAATGAGGAGACAAAGAAACAGGTCCCAAATGAAAGAACAGAACAACACCCCAGGAAAAGAACTAAGTGAAATGGAGATAAGCAACCTAACAGATGCTGAGTTCAAAATACTGCTTATAAGGATGCTCAATGAACTTAGTGAGAACCTGAGCGAACTTAGTGAGGGCCTCAAGAGCATAAAAAAGGACCAGTCAGAAATGAAGGAGGCACTAACTGAAATAAAGAATAATTTACACAGATTCACGCCCTGGCCAGTTTTCTCAGTGGTAAGAGCATCGGCCTGCGGTCCAGAGAGACCCAGGTTCAGTTCCCGCTAAGGGCGGTTGCAGCTTGTCCCCGGCCCTGGTTGGGTCATGTAGGTGGCAACTACTCAATGTGTCCCTTTCACGTCAGTGTTTCTCTCTCTCTCTCTCCCCTACTCTATCTGAACAAAGTATCAGAAAATGTCCTCGGCTGAGGATTAAAAAAAAAAGGATAATTTACAGATTCAATAGTAGAGTAGAAAGCCAAGAAGCAAACCATCGATTTGGAATATCAGAAAGCAAAAAACACCCAATCAAAACAGCAAAAAGAAAAAAGAATCCAAAGAAATGAGGATGGTGTAAGGAGCCTCTGGGACAACTTCAAGAGCACCAACATTTGCATTTTGGGGGTGCCAGAAGGAGAAGAGAGAGAACAAGAAATTGAAAACCTATTTGAAACAATAATGGCAGAAAATTTCCCTAACTTGGTGAAGGAAACACAAGTCCAGGAAGCACAGAGAGTCCCAAACAAGATGAACCCCAAGAGGCCCACACCAAGACACATCATCATCAAAATGCAAAAGGTTCAAGACAGAGAGAATCTTAAATGCAGCAAGAGAAAAGCAGTTAGTGACCTACAAGGGAGTTCCCATAAGATTGTCAGCTGATTTCTCAAAAGAAACTTTACAGGCCAGAAGGGAGTGGCAAGAAATATTCAGAGTGATGAAAAGCAAGAACCTACAACCAAGATTACTCTATCCTGCAAAGCTGTCATTTAGAATCAATGGCCATATAAAGCGTTTCACAGACAAGAAAAAGTTAAAGGAGTTCATCACCACCAAACCGTTATTGTATGAAATGATGAAGCGTCTTTTTGAAGAAAAAGATAAAATATATGAACAAACAAAATGGCAATGAATACATATCTATCGACCATTGAATCTACAAACAAAATGAACAGGCAAAACAGAAACATTCTCATAGATACAAAGAATATTTTGTTGGTTGCTAGATGGGAGGGGGTTGGGGGAATGGGTGAAAAAGGTGAAGGGATTAAGTACAAATTCGTTGTTAGACTGACAAACCTCAAAGGGAAAGGGGTTGGGGGGTAGGAAGAAATAAACCAAAGAACTTATATACATAACCAATGGACACAGACAAAAGTGTGGGAAAAGGCAGGAGTGGGGAAGAGGGGGTCAATGGGAGAAAAATGAGGAACATCTGTAATACACTCAATAATAAAGATAAAAAAAACAAAATTGAAAAAAAACAAAAACCCCAAATCAGAATATTATAAGGTGCCAGGCATGTTGGGTGAGTGTTTTGGGCCTTCCACCTCTGCTTAGCTGTAATTGGAAGGAACATGCACTATGAACCACCCATCACCTGAGCCCAAAATAGTTTTTGCCTTTCTCCTAGTATTGCCTCTCATCTCACATCCTTGTTAATATGGGGAAGACCCATGGGACATTTTCTCAGGTCCTAATAATAGGAATAATGTTACTCTAAAGTAGTTGTTTGTATCTTATGGCAGAACACCGACACAAAACTGATTATGTTAGATGCTAGAAAGTTTAGGGCCCGCCTTTAACAACTGTTAGAGTTTTACATAATTACATAATTGTTTTAGTAACTTGCATCCTGGCTTCATCTGATTTCTTCCATCTTCACTTTCCTTTTCCTAATTTCCTGACTTAAAAACTAGCTGTGCTGTAGGCATTTTTTAATAAGCTGTTTAAAAACATTTTGGAACAAGACACACTATTTTAGAAATGATTCAAATTCTTAAGGTATTTTGAAGGCCCTTCTTTCATAAACTTTAACCCAAACTTTCTAGGTAGTCTTCATTATTTTTTAAGTCCTTTTGTACCATCCCTTTGGTTTCAACTATGACTTTTATACTAACCACAGGAAGATCTCTAAATCCTAGTCCAGATCCCTGCACTGGATCTGAATTTACAGCTGAGAAAAGGGCATTTCCTGTCTACCACCCCACCCTCATACCCTTACATCTTTAATTAAAATATTGTCGATTATAATGTTGTTATATATATCTGATCACATTAAAGTTTTTTGAATATGTTAGCAAGTTTTATACTTTATAAATCTTTTATTTCAATTTTCTTTAAATAACCAAGCATTGAAAACTTTACAAAAATGTCAATTAAATTTGTTATGGTTCTTTTCCTTTTTTCCCCCCGTGGGTCTACATACTTCAAGGGGTACATGATCGATTCTCTCTCAAATCAACTTTTTCCAAACAGAAATCCCTATAAACAAATAGGGCCAGTCTTTATTAATTTTTTGTGATGGTGTTAGTGTCAGAAAATGTCCTTTTTCTTTTTAAAAATATTTTTATTTTTTTAGAGAGAAGAGGGGAGAGATAGAAACATCGATGTGGGAAACAATCGGCTGCCACCTGGGCATGTGCCCTGACTGGGAATTGAGCTGGAACCTCTCAGTACCTGGGACAATGCTCAATCCACTGAGCCACTCCGGCCAGGCCAGAAAACATCTTTAGTAAATAAATAAAGGAGAGATGTAAAGTACTGTGGTTTACTTAGTGAATCTTAATTGCGAAATTTCTTCTTCTTTCGAAACTTCTTTCCTGCTGCATTTGCTGCTTTTTCAGCCATGATCTCTGAGTACTTCTTTCGATTATACCTGAAAATCAAAACCAAACCTTTAAGTTCTAAAGTATGACACATAAGACATTAGAAGTTACTGAAGCCATGGGTAGTTTGGTTCAGCGGTTAGAGTGACGACCTGCAGACCAAAGAGTCTTGGATTCAATTTCCGGTCAAGGGCATGTACCTTGGTTGCAAATTTGATCCCTGGCCCTGGTCAGGGTCATGTAGGAGGCAACCAATTGATGTCTTTCTCTCACATAGATATTCCTTCCCTCCGACCCTCCCTTCTGCTCTAAAAAACAATGAAAAATATCCTAGGTGAGGATTAAAAAAAAAAAAAGTTAATGTAACATTTTTGGGGAGGTAGAGGTCGCTTTTAAATCTCAATTTACTTTTTTTTTTTGCATTTTTACCATCTATTCATCACATTTGTACTAAGTTCCACCATGTGTAAGGAGCCATTCTAGGACTTGGGGGCAGAGTAGTGAACCAGACTCCAAAGCCCCGGCCCTCATGAGGCTTACAAGTCCAGTGAGAAAAAATGACAACTGTAGAGGAAAGCTTTAGAAAACTTTCAGTCCTAGAAACTCATGCACTACATCCAGCTAATATTAAATACTTTAAATATTTTTGTGGGATAAAAATGTGAATATAAGGACTAAGCAAAACAAAAAGTTTACACTTACCTGAAAACACACAACACACTTCTTAGAACCTTGAGAAATATACCACAGACCATTGGTTTTCAGTGTGGTCTGGGAATGAGACCCTTTCAGGAATCCATTAGGTAAACACTATTTTAAAAGTATACTAAGATGTTGTTGCCTTTTTCATGCTACCTCGTAAGTGTACAGGGAAGTTTTCCAGAGGCTACACAATGTGTGTTACCATAGCAGACTGATGCAGAAGTAGACATGGGGAGGCTCCATCTATCTTTAAGCCAGACCATTAACGAGATTTAAAAATTTAATTATTTTTGTTTTGCTCATGAAATATATTAATGTGTAATGGGTTTGTTATTACTTTAAAATGAATAAATAAACATTTTTAAAGTTTCTAAATTCTAGTTTCCATTATGGTAAATACTGATGAACATAACTCACAAAACAAAAGTTCTCTGGGTCTTCAATAATTCTTCAGAGTTTAAAAGCATCCTCTGATAGGAGAATTGCTGCTACAGACTATATTTCCCCATTGGACTTTGGAAACACAGAAGCACAATTTATTGCAGAAAAATAATGCTGCAGTAGCTAGAAGCTGTCAGTCAGTCAGTCCACAGTTAATTATGAAAAGTTTAAATCTCTAAACATACAAAATTCCTTTGTTCCAAAGCACATTCACTGTGTTACATAAATTTGTTATCACATTACTAAAGCTTAGGATTAGCTAAAATTCTCTTTAATACAGAAGCTATTTAAATCCTTTACAACTTTTCAGTTCACTCACTTCCAAAAGCACAATTTACACAGACTTTCTAACAAATCTAAGGTTAGATTAAAAATGAAACAAAACCAAAACCCATATATAACACAGAAAAGCATATTTTCTTCTGTCCCAGGACATTTCTACTAATGAAACAGCTGATGCATTAAATACATTTGGTTAAGTTCTCTATCCCAAAGTGGTCAGAGAAAACCTCTTGAGCCAGATGTAGAGGGGATTAAAGCTTTCCATGAAGAGATGGGCTAACAGTGTTTCACACATTGTGGCATGTAAATGTAGGTGATAAAATAGACAATATTCATTTTAAGTAGTGTATTTTATCTTAATGTATATAGAAAACTATAATAAACCCATTTATAGTAGCAATATAGTTTCCTTTTATAATAAAGTAGGCAGTATACAGATAATTAGATAATATTATGAAAATGGCCTTCAGTGACTAAGGTACGGGAAGCAATGAACTGATATGACAACCTCTAACTTGCAATTTCATGAATTCCATTCTAACTACATTTCTAGTTTATAGCCCCAACTTCCTTATTCTAAAATTTTTTAGTGTTTTAACACTTGCCTAAGTGTTAACCATATGTTACGGATAAAAATTGACCTATATTTTGTATCTTGATGATGGCAATCTCAGAAATCACAGCAATGTTGAGAGTACTTATTTCTAAAATTTTTAGCGTTACCCAGACTCATTAAATAGCCTCCCTAACATTCTGAGTTAAATTTGCTTTCTATACCTACAATCCACATTATTTTTAGAACCCATGATAAATACTTTCACTTTTGCTATTAAACTAATCTGAAACTTTAGCAGAGGCTTCTATACGAGGTATGCTTTTTTTTTTTTTTATCCTCACCCGAGGACATTTTTCCATTTTTTGTACAGATAGAGTGGGAGGGAGAGAGAGGGGGGGAGAGAGAGAGAGAGAGAGAAACATAGATGTGAAAGAGACACATCGAGTGGCTGCCACCCGCACGACCAACCAGGGCCGGGGACAAACTGCAACCGAAGTACATGCCCTTAGCGGGAACCAAACCCGGGTCTCTCCAGACCGCAGGCCAACGCTCCAACCGCTGAACCAAACCGGCCAGGGCACGAGGTATGCTTTTAAATCTCATATATATATATGTATGTATATATACACACACTACTTCAAGGACTTTTAACCATACTCACATTGCTCCCATCTTAAAAAAATCCTCTTAAGTCAACATCTACTAGCCCAGCCTCTCTCTTCCTCTTCACAACAGAACTTCATTAAAGAGTTATGTCCATTTCATTTTCAACACTTTCCAGTTGTTTTCTTCCCCATCACTCCCCTAAAACGCCCGCCAAAGTTACTCTAACTAAATCCAAAGAAATTTTTAGTGCTTATTTGATCTCTTGGCAGCATTTCCTGTTAACCACTCCCTCTGGTCATTAATCTGCTTAAAATATTCTCTTTCCTTGACTTCTGACATTGTGCCCTCCAGGTTTTCTTAATGCCTCCTTAGCTATTCTTTCCCAATATCCTTCTCATTCACCTCTAGCCAAATATTTTCGGCTTCTCTCTAAAGCAGTAGTTCTAAACTAGGAACGCTTATGCCCTGTAGGGGACATTTGGAAATGTCTGAAGACATTTTGTCTGTTGATACTGGCATGTAGTGGGGGCAGAGGCCAAGGAGGCTGTTAAACATCCTACAATGCACATGAAAGTCCCTCCTACTAAAGAATTATCCCATCCAGCCCTGGCTGGTTTTGCTCAGCGGTTAGAGCGTCAGCCCGTGGTTCACAGAGACCCAGGTTCGGTTCCCACTAAGGGCACATACCTCAGTTGCAGTTTGTCCCTGGCCCTGTTTGGGCTTGTACGGGAGGCAGCCACTCAATATGTCCCTTTCACATTGATGTTTCTCTCTCTCTCTCTCACTTCCTCTCTCTCCCTCCCACTCTATCTAAACAAAAATGGAAAAACGCCCTCGGGTGAGGATTAAAAAAAAAAAAAAAAAAAAAATCAATGGAAAAAGAATTATTCCATCCAAAATGTAAGTAATGCTGCTGTTGAAAGCATGCTAGAGCATTTAAAAACAATCTGAAAATTTAAGTTTATGCATATTCTAAAGGAAAGCATTCCTATTATAGAGTAAAACATAAATTCCTTTACCTTCTGAACTCAGAATCAGCCAGCAGTTCCTCCACAATAGTTTTCTTCCTTTGTTTCTTGGGAATTCGTGAATGGTAGAAGTCAGCTGGATTGTCAACAATGGTTCCAATCTATGAACAAGTGACTGAAATAAGTTATGCAACATCTGAATGCAATGTTGCTTTCCTATGCCAAGGTAGCTCTAACAAAGTGTATTTATAAAAAGGAATGAAAAACATAAGCATATATTACACCAACATTAATTTAATTTTGCCATTTTTAAAAGCAAAAATAAGTCACCTATTCAATCTGCATCAGGTCCTAATGACATTTCTTCATTAGCTGTAATCCAAAATTCCTTTTATATAATTTAATACTGTCTTGAAAAGAAGAGTTGGTGCAAGTGATTCCCTCTGTCCCTCTCCATTCTCTAATATTTCTTCCTCTTAGGCTAGTACTATTCATAGATGGAACACCCATTTATATGTTCCATGTTTTAGAGAGCTGACCTAGGAACCTAATTATCACCTGCAACACTGTTTCTCTATATGGAAAGCCATTACAAGCCGGAAGCTGTCTGAATTGGGTTCTGGCCATTAATATAAGGCCTGAACAGATGTGCACTATAAATATTCATCTATTTTGAGAGTGAACAGAAAGATCACACTAGTACTTTCCAAGCTAAAATCCATAGAACATCACCACCATTATGCTGTTTGCTTCATACCTGGAAGTATTTAGGGAAGCCATCCCTATCGTTTTTCTTGTAAAACCTTTTTGGGTCCATGCCAGCTCTCATTTTCAGTGCTTTGAGATCATTTTTTAGTTCATCCGTCAATTCTGGAGCTTTCATGCCAAACCAGCCATCACCTGCTGTTTTTTGTCGCTCTTTCTGAAATTCAGATTTCAAACACAAACAAATTTTTTTTTTTTTTTTTAATCCTCACCCAAGGACATTTTTTCATTTTTTATTCAGATAGAGTGGAAGGGAGAGAGAGGAAGAGAGAGAGAGAGAGAGAGAAACATCGATGTGAAAGGGACACATCGAGTGGCCGCCACCCACACGACCCAACCAGGGCCAGGGACAAACTGCAGCCAAGGTACATGCCCTTAGCGGGAACCGAACCCAGGTCTCTGTGGACCGCAGGCTGACGCTCTAACCGCTGAGCCAAACCGGCCAGGGCTTTAACTTTAATAAACAGTGTATAAACTACACCGTGTTCCCCCAAAATTGTACATACAGAAAATTTCATTAATTAAAAACAGAAAAGGTTACTAAGGTTACTTTATAGGATGTTATTAGTTTCCAGATTTATCTTTCATAAAAGGAATGAAACCACAAAAAGTGATCTTGTTGGTAAATTAAGTAAAGCATTATCAATTTCATAAATTGAGGATTCCTTTAAATTTAATTTTGTATTTTAGTAAGAATTGCCGACATGCTGGGAGACTAACCCACAGCTTTAATTTCTATTGTCTAAAAGCCTACATAAGAGATAATGCATAAAAACATTTTCACTTCTGAAGCTTTTATGTAAACATTAACACTTTTGTTCAGTCCCCAGGTATCTCAAAGTCACTCACTCAGATAGTCCAGAAATTTATATTATTTCTCAAAAAAGAAAAAAAAAATTAGCCCTGGCCAGTGTGGCTCAGTTGCTTGAGCATACACCAAAAGGTTGCCAGTTCGATTCCTGGTCAGGACAAGACCCAGGTTGTGGGTTAGGTCTGGGGGTGTGCATATAGGAGACAATCAATCAATGTTTCTCTCCCCCTGTCTTTCTAAAATCAATTTTTAAAATGTATTTTAAAAAAATAAATTATTCTTTTAAAAACTCCTTGTAAGTGATTTGCTTCATTTTTTTTGGTTCCACTCATACAAAGAATGTTATGAAGAATCTACCATGTGCTTAGATGCTTCATATTAGTGACAAGACATTATTGGAGCACCTTCCTCAAATATCCTCCAAACTCTCTTGATAATTTTTTTTTTTAATATCCTCACCCGAGGACATTTTTCCAGTTTTTGTTCAGATAGAGTGGGAGAGAGAAAAAAACATCGATGTGAAAGGGACACATCGAGTGGCTGCCACCCGCATGACCTAACCAGGGCAGGGGACAAACTGCAACCGAGGTATGTGCCCTTAATGGGAACCGAACCTGGGTCTCTCTGGACCGCAGGCTGATGCTCTAACTGCTGAGCCAAACCGGCCAGGGCTTGATAACTTCTTTATGCTTATTTGCTGAAATGCAAAATTGAAGCAATCCCCTATCTTTTACTAAAGAAAACAGTTTCTGTGCTCTCATTTAGCAGAGTAAATAGACGAGATTTTTAGCTGGCTACATTAAGTTCCCTACAATAGTCTGCAACAAAGAGTTCCTAGGCTTTAGTGAACAGTACCTATAAGCCAAGAAGTATGGACAATGACCTTGCATGGTGACTGTCATTGTTTTTAAGGGGGAAAAAAGTTATGTCTATATGCACCATTCAGTGCACTTTCACTCTGTGAAAACCTATATAAAACGTGTTTATGGAACCACGTTTTATGGGCCCTCCGGTATCCATAATTTTCTTTAAAAAAAATGTGTTTTAATTACTCTACCTGATTGTATATGAGGTGAACATATCTAAACATTCTAAATAATGAGAGTCACTGTACTTACTCGGCGTTTTTTTTGAAGATGGTATTTTGATTCACGATATGGTGGGACACAGTAGTTTTTTTCAAAGTCAGGAGTAATGATGGCTTTCTGCATAATCTATAAAAATATTAAATTGGTTTTAAAATTTCAGAATGTCATATAACTTTTCCAACATTTTTGCCTTACCAGGGAAACATCTCTCAGACTGAAGACTACTCCAAATATATCAACCTTCTTTGTGCACAGATATACTACTGCAAAGTTGTTCCGTCAAAAATGTTTCAGAAGGCAAACTGAAGATTTTAGGAAATCTATAAACTTGATCTTCAATTCAAATATCTTTTACTAATCTGAATCTGCAAACACTGATTTACATTGTGTCCAATTGTATTTATTGGTTTGCAACCATCCACCTGCACCAAACAACTGGAGAAGACAATGGGAACAATGCCAAAATTGCTCGAAATCCCTGAAAAATACCTGACTGGTTTTTAGTAAATCCTTTAAATGTTGGTAAAACAGTTTATAATCTGAGGAGACTAGCTAGATTATTAGTAAGTATAGTGATACAGATTTTGATTCAATAACATATACTTTTTATGTTATACCAATGAGATCTTCCTATCTAGACAAATCTGCTTTTTGCAACTCAATGTATCTTGAATGATCTTTCAATGTCAATTTATATATATATATAGATCAACAACTTTCTTATCAATAGCTGTTATACACCACAGTTCTTTTGACATTAAACTATTTTCCATTAAACATTATAAACATCACCTCTGCACACTTGTGATTATTTCTATAAAACAGATTCCAAAATGTGTCATTTAAAAATTTTATAGGTAATGCTAAATTGCCTAGTATTCAAAAAGTATAAACTCCTACCAACAGTTAATCAGGACCCTTTTCTTTATATTGCCACCAACACTGGGTACTAACTTTTTGTATGTAGTAAGTGGTGTCTCTTGGCTATTTTCATTTGCTATTGATCATCTTTATACATCAAGTCCTTTTTTTGTGGGAATGCCTGCAGTCTTTTGGGTTCTTTTTCATTTTAAATTAGGGTTGTGTTCTTACTAATTTGTAGAAAAGTATTTTGTACTTTGGTGATACGAATCTGCGGTCTTTTGTCTTTGTTAAAGTATTTTTAATTGTAAGTTTCAAAATTTTGTGAAGTCAGTCAAATCTGTATGTATTTTTTTTCTTTTTTTCTTCTTTTTCTTTTTTCATACTGTACAACCCCCTTCAGTGCTAACAGCCCACAGGTAAGGAGGCTGAGCAATGGTTCGAGGCAGCAATTTACTCTGGCATGGGTACACTATGAGAGGCCCACAAAGAAGAGCCTACCATAAATCCATTACCATGCTCCAAATCTGTATTTTTTATTTGCCTAGGATGATTAAATATTGTCATAAATATCATTTGTGTGACTAAAAGAAGCCTCAGGGTAATAAGTCTTTCCCCCCAGTGCAAGGACTAAAGAAGACTACTCCTTAGTCCTCAAAATAGTTCACAGGAATACAGCAAGTATTAATTTGGTCAGTAACATTGGACAGTATCAATTCAGACATCCCCAATTAAGGTTCAGGCTTAGAAGTTTCTGGGTAGTACTATAGTAGAAGTCTATACTTTCCTATCACTCAGGAAAAAAGAGCATGATGTTTAACAGATTAATAAGAACTTGTGTGTCAAGTACCATACTAGGGTTTAGGACAGTGGTTCTCAATTGGGAGCAATTGGCAATGTCTGAAGACATTTTTGGTTTGTGTGTGTGTGCGCACGCACTATTCTCATCTATTAGGTAGAGGCCAAGGCTGCTGCCAAATATCTTATAATAGGCAGACACTCTTCCACAACAAAGAACTACCCAGCCTAGCCCTGGCCAGTTTGGCTCAGCGGTTAGAGCGTCGGCCTGCGGTCCGGAGAGACCCGGGTTCGGTTCCCGCTAAGGGCACGTACTTCGGTTGCAGTTTGTCCCCGGCCCTGGTTGGTCGTGCGGGTGGCAGCCACTCGATGTGTCCCTTCACATCGATGTTTCTCTCTCTCTCTCCCTCCCACTCTATCTGTACGAAAAATGGAAAAATATCCTCGGGTGAGGATAAAAAAAAAAAAGAAAAAAATTGGAAAGAACTACCCAGCCTAAAATATAAATATTGCTGAGGCTGAGAAACCGTTTTAGGCATATAAAGATAAAAGACAGTAAAATAACGATTATACCATATGATTAATTGGATTGACACTGGGTGTTGCAGAAGCACAAAGGAGTTTGGGGGAAGGACTAGGGTCAAAGAATGTTTCCCAAAGACAGTGATCTATCTCTGCTTTGGCCAGGGAAAGACCAGGGTATATTTAGATAACTATAGCAGTCTTCAATGGTGAGAACGCAGTAGGTGGACAGAGTTGGAAGGAACAGAAGCACCTCGAAGGCTCCGAGGAACCCCTGAAACACTTAAACAGAATATCATGTTAGATTTATGTTTTTAGAAAATCTAGCAAGAGTACAGACAATAGCTTTAGAACAAAGAATAAGCAGGCTACTGCTGTAGTCTAGATAAAAAATAAAAGCCTGCATGAGCCAGTGACAGTGGAGCAAAAAAAAAGCGAACAGAGTAGAAAGTACGTAAGAAGCACTGTAGCCTAGGCTTAGTGATTGCAAAATGGAAAGATTTTGGGATCATTAACCAGGACAGAGAATACAAGAGGAGGAGCTGGTTCAGGCAGGGAACGGAAGTAGGGCAATTAGTGAGGTCAAGTGCCTGAGCACAAGTGCCAGAACAGACAACAGGCATCTAGATTTTAAAACCCGAAGAAAGACCTGAAGAGGCAGTAAGTCTACAAAATACATGTGAGAAGAAGCTATGCAAGGTGGCAGCAAAGTTGAGGGTTGGATGAGGTTATCTACCTTATAATTTCTTTCTGAAATTTCTTTCTGTCTATGTGCACATGTGCACTTTTTCCTGGCAAGGGAGGCAGGCTCTCACAGCTTTCAGATTCTCATCACAGTCCAGAACAGTTAAGAACTAAAAGTATACAGCAAGAAAAGAGAAGAAAATACAACCCCTGAGATGACAACTGGTGGGTGCAAGAAGAGGAACACTGAAGTGGATTACTTTATTTTTATTTTATTTTTTTGTGGGCTTATTTTTTTACATGTCATCTTTTACAGCTAGGACATCCTTAAAAAGAGAAATGATTGTTCTAGAAAGAGGGAAAAATGGAGCAGACCAGGCCGATATGATTGCACTGTAGGAAAGTTGGTCTCTTACCAAGGACTAATCATTTCTAGAAGTAATTGGCTAGTTTTTTTTTTTTTTATCCTCACCTGAGGACATTTTCCCATTTTTTTGTTCAGGTAGAGTGGGAGGGAGAGAGAGGAACAGAGAGAGAGAGAGAGGAACATCGATGTGAAAGGAACACATCGAGTGGCTGCCACCCGCACGACCAACCAGGGCCGGGGACAAACTGCAACCGAGGTACGCCGCCCTTAGCCCTTAGCGGGAACTGAACCCGGGTCTCTCAGGACCACAGGCCGACGCTCGCTCTAACCGCTGAGCCAAACCGGCCAGGGCAGTAATTGGCTAGTTTTATGAAAACCTACAGGACACTTCATTAAACTTACCTCATTTTTCTTTTTCTCCTTGATCTGTGTTAGGGTTTTCTTGTTTGACTGTAGTTTGTCTGCATTAAAATTTATATACAAACCACCCAATTGTTTGATACTCAGACCAGGGTCTATGCTGCTGCTTGTCAACTTCAGACTGAAAAAGAAACAATCACTTAAAGATCAAGTAATTAAATCAAAATGGAAACAATTGAGGCTATTTTAAAATCACTTTCCCCCCCTTCTCTCCTCTTTTACCATCAATGACAAGAAAAAATCCTTATTTTTACAATGAAGCTTTGAAAAAAATGAACAAATACACAATCTAGTAAAAGTCACTAAGAAAAAATTCTGGGATGAATAATGAATTTAAAAAGCTTTTTGGGAGCATATGCAAATGTATTCCCTAGATTTTCTTTACGAGGATTAAGGCCATATAATATACCAATAGATTTCATAACAGGATTTTTATAAAGAAAAGAATTATAGAAAAGAAGATGAAATGCCTCTGGCAATTCAACTCAATGTACATTGCTCCCATCTCTAAAAGCAATGAGAAAGATAGGTTGTTCTACTCTGAACTTCCAACTTATCCAAATTTAGAATATTTTTCTGGGTAACCAAAGGCATTTGGTAGTGCCTCTAAACCAAGGAAATTTTAGCCCGACCAGTGTGGCTCAGTGGTTGAGCGTCCACCCATGCACCAAGAGGTGACCAGTTCAATTCCCGGTCAGGGCATATGCCCAGGTTGTGGGCCAAATCCCAGTGGGGGGGCATGCAGGAGGAGGCCAACTGATGTTCTTGCTCATCCATATTTCTCTCTCTCTCTCCCTAAAATCAATAAAAGAAAATTAAAAAAATAAACCAAGGAAATTATAAACGGCGATGGCATCCACATTTCCCATGGAACTTTAAAAAAATATGTCATACCTCAGACCTAACAGATTCGACTCTTCTACAATTGGCCTGGGGTCTTGCTGTATTTATGTAATGAGAATTTCTACTTCCTACTATTGGAGGGTCCTTTTTATAAGCAAGTACACTGGGATTTATAGTCACCTTCTTCCCTAATTATTCATATAAACTAAGCACCTGAAAGTTTTGATAATCAACCTTTACTCGAAAGTGATCCTCAACTCTGTTCCTAGGGAGGAGGACCGTGGCTTTTAAAAAATAAGAATGCCTGAGCCCAGCCTCAGACACTCATTTCACTGGGCATCCATTAATATACAGTTCCTTATAAGGATGCCTATATTTCGTGGATACACTACCAGGGTACCTGGGGAAAAACAAACTTAAAACAGAAAAAAAGAAACTAAAGAAGTAGCCTCAAACCTTAATGCCTTTCAATGGGTGATAGATGGGGTTATACATTATTATTTTTCTCAGGTTTTTCTTTATTTTTCTATTTCTCTACAATCAACATATAGTAAAAAACAAGTTATTTTTCTTCCCTTTTATATTCCTATTTTTATATTGCTATTAACAATCATGCAGGAAAATCCTAGAAGATAATTTTTAACATATCTGCCAAAAGAAGTACTTTTAGCTATCACTGGTGGGAAAAATATGATTAACAAAGGCATCCACAGAGATGAGGGACATGCTAGATAAAAGCTCTTCCATACAGAACTCAAGGCAATGATTTTCTCAATTTCCACGCTTTCTAATTTTATATTTTTATGGTAAATTAGTCACTTGAAATATTTATCAAAAACGTACTTTTAAAAATAAAAACAAACTAAAACTTACAGTTTAGACTTTGTGCTATTTAGTAAATCATCTTCATCACTAAACTCATCATCTTTATTTTTGTCTTGATCTGATGGCTCTTCTTCACTTTTTCCATCCTCTTCCTCTTCTTCCTCACTGGCAACCTCACTTGCCTTGTCTTCCTCATCCAAGTAAAAATTTTTATCAGTACTAAATCCAGGAGTTGTGTCAATTACAAACAATGCATTGTCACATAACTTATTTTCTGAGTCTCCATTTAATGACCCCCTTTGAACACTATTTTCAGCAAAACACACAGTGTCCTCTTCAGTCTCACAGTTTTCAGACTGCTGGCTTTCATCACTGCTGAGAAGTAATAAAACAGAATCATCTTTATCCTGAGATGTGTTGAGCTCAGACTTGTAGAGTTTGGTATCACAGTCAACATGTACATCCCTTTCTTTATTCATGTCTTCACTAACATCTATAACTGTGCACTCTTCTTCATCACTACCACCACCATCACTAGATGTGAAATCACTTGTTTTTATGGTGCTCTTTCTCTCTTCAGTCCATCTGTCTATTTCCACAACTGCAAATGTTTGCGATAATGATTTCATTACAGCCTCACAGTTCAGATTTGAGGGCTTTGATGTGGTTTTGTTATTTTGGGGGGTTGAATACCTTTGAGAAACTAACTGAAGGTTAGTGTCCTCAAGTTCAGAAAAACTCAATTCAGAAATTTTCTCATTAATTTCTTTTCCCTCACCTATCATTCCTTCGATTTCTTCATCTAAACTCTTACAGTTCTGCTTTGTTATTTCTTTGAGAGGTGCAACACTGGCCTGTGTTTCCTCTCTTATATTAAGACGTTGGCATTTTTGCACTGTTGGTTTTTTCCCTGATTTTCCATGGAAAGAATCATCATCAAAGTCATTACAAATTTCATTATTAGAGAAATCTGGATTATTTATCTGAGGAAGAGATCTTGCTTGTAAACAAGAAGTTTGTCTGGTATCTGAATCCTCTGGATTCATAGGTATATTTATTATTTGCTTTACATTTCCTGATATAATCTCAGTGTCTTTCTCCTCTGTTTGTGATTGTAATTTCCTCTGCATACTCCTTGTTGTTCTCCTAGTTGCAACCCCAGAAAATGTAGACATATCTGAGCATGATGACTCAGCATCAGAAACAGCATCTGAATGTGATTCTTGGCTTGGATCTAGTAGGGATTTAGTCTTACTTCTTCTGGTTCTTGTAGAAGGCACAATTCTAGAAATGCCTGATACATGCGATTCTGCTTCAGAGACTTCTTCTTCAGTATGAGACTCATTTATTGAAGCTATTTTCAGCCTTTTCCTAACGCTGGACACTGGGGTGCATGCAACTAAGATTCGCCTTCTCCTAGTTACTCTGTAAACAGAATCCTGGAGCTCAGAACAATTTGACTCTGCTTCAGAAGTTTCTCCATCAGTAGATGGTTTGTTCATTTCTGGTAATGAGCCTGTAGTTCTGCTCACCCTCTTTCCAGTTTTAGGAATTGAACTTTGTTTCCTATTGCTCTGTGATTCAGCAGTACTTGAATCATCAGATGGAGATTCCTTCCTGCCTTGTAAATGCGCTTGGATTCTTTTAGCAGAATTCTGTAAGCCAGAGAAAGCACACTGTTAATGTGGGTAGGGCTGGGACACAGACAAAGTGAATGAGGTACTCCCCTCAGGAGCAAATTTTAAGAGGGCACTGAAAAACCCAGTAAACAAGATGAACACAAAACCCACCACCATTACCCATTATTTAAAAACAAAAAAAACCCTTATATACTGAATCTGTTTCACTCGCCTCACCCAAGTCCTTGAATCTTACTTCGGTGAGCAAAATAATAAAAGAAAAAAATTTCTACACCCAAAGAAAGTAAAAATATTCCAGGTGGACCTACATTCTGACACACGAGGAAGAGGGAATAGGAGACCATTAACTCCTTGCAAAGATGCGTTCCGGTACACAACCCGATGGAATCGGTCGCTGCCCTTACCTTCTTTACACAGTAAGTGAATTAACGCTCGTTTCCTTTCATCGCAGAATCAGAAGCAGCGGGCGACTAGCGCCACCGAGAGCCACCAGGCGGCATCACTGTAGACTGCCCCACGCCACAGTGTGGCGGGGTCACCGCCGGCCTCCCCGCGAGAAAAGGTTGTCCTTCTCTCCAAATCCGCTAGGTCAGGCTCACGCTTGGTGGCCAAGATGAACTCTTAGTAGCGTGTTCAGAGTAAAGCTAAAAGGCTGCTCATCTGCAGTACAGAGCAGAACTACCCGGAGCAAGTGAACTAATCTCTGCGCCATGCCAAGGCCCGCCCTCAAGACTGCAGGGAGGGCGGCGAGGAAGCGCCCGGCTCCGCCCGGGCCTGGCGCGCGGCAGCTCGGCCGACGTCCGCCCGTCGCCCCCCGTCACGCTCCGCGGGACCCTCGCGCCGCCCCACCCACCTGGCGCCATTCTGCGAAGCGGCGAGCAGAAGAGAGCGAGCCTTGCCATTTCCTACCTTCTGCCCGGGGCTTTCAGGCGACGCAGCCTGGACACCGGCCTGCGACCGCGCGGACCTGGTGATCACCATCTTACCGGCTTGTGGCCACCGCGGCCTCTGTTCCGGCGCCGCGGAAGTGCGTCAGAGAACTGCCTCGGTCGCGTTTCCGCGGGGATTCCGGGCCTCGCGAGAATCTCTCACCTACCTGCGCCCCGCCTGCCTAAACCCCGGCCGTCCGACCCGGGATCCCTAAGGGTAGGGGAGTTAGCGTTCACTCCAGCGCATGAGACAGACCGTCCTTGTGCAGCGGGAGCACTTGGTGGCGGCGGTGAGACGCGCAGCGACAGAGGGCCCTCGTCCTCGCTCCACCCCACTCCATAATCCCTTCACGTGTTCCGCAACTCAAGGTTTCGTGTAGCCAGGGGTGTGGCCGAGGAAGACAAGACGCACCATTACGTATACTTTTTAAAAAAACAATCATTACTATTGTGTATAAGTTGTGAAATTAAATATAAATAATACAGAATTTAATTTAAAGACTTGGTTGGAGTAAAGATGTTTATGTTATATCCCCCAGGAACTCGGAGACTAATTAGGAAACTATATAATCTGTTGGTGAGATGATGAGTAGGGATTGGGAAGAAGCAGAAAAGAAGTGTTAACGAAATTGTAAAGGAGAGTGCTAATTGTTTTTCTTTCTTTCTTTCCCGTAGTGAAAGGAAGAGAATGACCTGAATCAATAGAAGCTTTTGGGTTTCTTTTAGGATGAAGGGTGGACAGCTAGAATGTTTGAGGGGAATAGAAAGGGATTCAAGAAGTAGGAGGTGATTGTTGGCGGTAAGAAAGGATGAATGCCTCACTAAATGTTTTTTTTTGTTTTTTTTTTTACTTTTATAACAGAAAACCCTGCCTTTTTTTCCTAATGTCACCAAGCACATATTTTTCAGTGGGTACACTCAGCTAAATAGTTCCTTTCATTGTTTACCTTGCAGCCAGATGTGGCTAAACTTTGGCCAATTACTATAAATCGAGTGTTGTGTAGTTCTTAAGGGACATCTTAAAAGAGGGGAGGTCCTCCTCTGCCTTATTTAACTTTATTTTACTACCTGGAAAGTTGTGCTCGCGGGTTTCCAAGCAGCAACTTTGTACCGAGAGGATGAGGGGCGTGGCCACAGAAGAATGCTCCTTCTTTTGAGGCTGGAGGGAAGAGCTGATATTTGAAGCAGAGAGAAGAATGTGAATGCAGGGGAATTAAAGTGGAGAGAAGGAAAGAGGAGGAGATTTTGGATAGATAATCACAATTTTCTCTGTAAGTAGAAGATCCATCTGCTCAGAATGGAAAAAGTTTAGATTGGTTCTTGTGGGGAAAGTGGTGAGGAGCAAAATGAAGGAATTTTGGTAAGACCAGGTAGCAGTGAGACTGTAACAGGAAGAACAGAAGAGAAAACAGGCTAGATTGACGGTAGAATGGTATAGAGGAAGAAAAATGAACTTATTGGAGGTCAAAGTAGCAGAGTACAACAGCATCAATCATAGTAATGGTATTGAGCACTTACTATATCCTAGGTATTAAGTCCTTTACATGTGTTAACTCGTTTAATCTCTACACAAACTTTAACATGAGCAAATGCATGAAAATATAAATTAAGATCACAGAAGTGGGTATAGAAAATTGGGAGAGTATTTAAAAACTAACTTGCAAAATTCACTGCAAGCATGGCCCCTTTACAGTAAAACAAACAAAATCTCAACCATCACAATCTAAAAAGGTCAAGAAACACATACTAAAATTAAAATGCCAGTGCATATTCATAATCTGAGAAGACTGAGTTTGCCTACCATCAACAGGTGGTCTGATGGTAGACAAAACTGCAAAATGTTTTTGTTTTATGTGGACTTACTAAGTCTGCCCTATTTCCCTACTTCCACCTTCTCTGCCAACCCTCTTTACCCAAAGTGGATTTGAGGCAAATACAATATTCTCACTTTTAGGTAAGTACAGTATAAACATTTAGTAGTTATTACTCAGACCCAAAGCGAAACTCTACCTTGACAGTCTATGTTTTACTAATTAAGCCCTTAAACAGAAGGGTTGAATCTCTCTCTCTGGAATGTTATGCATTAACCAAAAGATGAAAGTTTCAGTGCCTGAGCCTTCTTATACTAGATGCTATACATGGTCATAAAGCATTATTACATATAAAACATTACTTTTAAATTAAGTTTGACCTGTAAGAAGATCCCCAATAATCCAGTCTCCCAGTTTCAACCCTTGAGTGTGGACTGGATCTAGTGACTTATAATGAAAAGAATGACAAAAGTTGCCGGTTACCTGACCGGCGCACAACCTGGAGCCCATACATGGAGCCTGCAGCCTCCAGCTCCCTGGTCTGGGGAGCCTGCGCTTGCTCAGCTTACAGGCCAACCTCTTCCGCGACTGCGGTGCCGGTGCCGTGGAGTAGCTACAGCTTAGAAACAACCGGCTCACAGAGCTGCCCCCCTATGCCTTCCGTGGCCCGAGCAACCTGTGCACGCTCGACCTGGGTGGCAACTCACTGGGCCGTGTGGCGCCCACCTGATTTGCCGACCGGGTCTAGTTCGAGCTGCTCTACCTGGATCGCAACAGCTTCGCCTTCATGGAGGAGGTCATTTTCTAGAACCTCTAGGGCTTCCTCGCTCTGCATCCCAATGGCAACCACCTCACCATGCTTACCTGGAACGCATTCCAGCCCGGCTTCTTCCTGGGCCACCTCTTTCTCTTCCGTAACCCCTGGCGCTGTGACTGTGCCCTGGAATGGCTGCGGGACTGGATGGAGAGCTCTGGCCTCGTCGCTGATGTGCCATGTGCCTCGGGCTGCGTGGCTGGCCTGGACATCAGCCAGGTGGCCCTTGGGCCCTCGTCCTTTGGCCCCTGTGTGGAGCTGAACCTCATCGCGATCAGCCCAGGCCTGTCCCCAGAGCCAGGGGCCACCACCGTGAGCAGGTTCAGCAACCTCCTCTCCAAGCTGTTGGGCTGCCCTAGGGCCCCAGTGGAGGAGGCGGCCAACACCCCTCGGGGCCAATCAATGCCTCTGACAGCTTTCCCTGGGGCGGGATGGGAGGCTCTGTTTCTCCTTGGCTCTAGTCTCCTGCTCAGAGTGGCCCAGCATGTTCGTCCTTATAGATATAGTGAACCTGTCCCACTGGGGTGGCCCAAACTGCCTTGGCCAGCTGGGGAATTTTACTTAATTGGGCTTGAAGGTATTTGTGGTGAAGAGGAGAGGGGAACAAGGTGGGAGCAGGTCGTGAAAATTCCGGTGGAAGGTGGAAGAAACAGTTTACCTCCAGAGATGGTCCTAGGAAGAGGAAAACCCTGAGATATGTCATGTGGGGGTGAGGGGTGGGTGTGGGGGTGGATTTCTGCTCTTATCACATGGGCATTAATTGTAAAGCAGAAGCAAGAATGAACATGGAGGATCTGATGAGAAGGCTAGGAATCGGAAGCTCCTAGGGCCTCGGGGCTCCACCTCCATTCCTCCTCCCACCCCTCCCCCACCGTCTTCCAGAAAACATGGACTCACTACAGTGCCTGAATTAGTCAATTGGTTAAATACTAAGAACTGTGCCAGTTTTCCTTGGAAGCAACCCATTAGGCCAATCCCTCTTTTTTCTACCTCAATTCTCTTCCTCCTGGGCCTAGGGACACTAGGGTCCAGGAAGATGGACAGGACAGGAGAGAAGGGGGGGGGATGGGAGAGGGATTTAGACCCAAAGGGGTGGTGTTGGCTCCTGGAGCCTGAGATGTGTTAGAAGACAGTTAAAACAAAGTTATTCCCAGGGAGTGGCTTTAGGCATAAAGGAACTTTAGGGTATGGTAGGGGAAAAAAAGAGGAAGTTTCTGTGGACAAATACATTTGTAAAATACTAAGATAAAAAAAAGTTAGCAGGTTTTTCTACTGCAGAACATTTCAATCTTTTATATGTAAACATGCACTGTGACTCTCCTGGGAGACCATAAAATTTTTTTTTTAGTATTTTGTGGGAAGAGTGTCCAGAAGACACAGAAATGCTGTTGGCAGGACAGGGAGTCTCCAGCTTGGATTCAATTAGCTGTGGAAATTATGGGCTGCACCCTTTTTGGCTAATGGCCAAGAGGAAAGGAAGCAGCCAGTAGCTGGAAGAGGGGCTGAGATATCTCCCAGGGAGAGAGTTGGCCAACTGTAAATCCCCAAGCCTGAGTGTCAGACCTAAGACTATGTCTGCTAAATCCTTGCCCAGTCTGTTTTCCATACACAGGTAAAGATGACTGCATTTGTCAACACTTTGGAAATCCCTAATCTCAATGTCCAGAGGTCTGCTCTCTGTGTTTGAAGAGGTGGGATTTTCAAAGCCCACACAGATTCAGATGCACTGAGCTGTCAGTTCTTCATGGTGACAGTACTTCGTGTCTCTAGGTAATATTAAATATTAGAAATGCTGCAGAAGCACCACCCAGGTCAGGCGTGTTCAAATAAATTGTGACCATTAGTGACCATCAATGCAATTTAATGGGTCATAACTGGCATTTAATAAAACAAGATAGAACACAAAAGTCACAGAGCATTACACATAATATAAAGGTATTGTTTTGTTAAACTTTTTATTTAATTTGTATGTATTTATTCAGATTATATATGTATGCATACATCTGTCTGGATTGCTTCATACAATCTGTATTTTATTGTGGGTTAGCATTAAAAAAGTTCAAAAGTCACCAAAAAAAGATTAGGTTACAAAAATGGCTGGCTTCTATCTTGTACTCTCACTTGTTCATTCTGTGGGAAGCTAGCACATGTGATGAGCTACCCTATGGAGAAGGCCATGTGACAACACAGTGAGGGAGGCCTCTGGCCTATACCTGTGGAGAAACTGAGTCTAGCCAACAACATGATCAAGGTTAGAAGCAGACCAACCTCACGCAAGCATACAAGTGAGACTAATCTCAGCTAACACTTTGATTTCAACTGTTTGAGACACAGCGAAGGTAAGTCACTATTGAATAGTTTTGTCTGTTCTAAAATTTCATGTATTATAAAGGAATTAATACAATATGTACTCTTTCATGTCTAGCTTTTTATTTTCTTAAGTGTCTTTTGAAGAACAGAATATTTAAATTTTCATTAAACCTAGTTATCAATGTTTTCTTTTACATTTTTTGTTATAAAAAAACCTTTGAAGCCAGTTTTAATTTTTCTTTGTTCTAATTCTATACACATCAAAATAAGTTGAAAATTTCAACTAAAAATAAAGAAGCAAGCAGAGAAAAAGACTATTTCTAGGGAAGGAAATCCAGATTTTCATTAGCAAGAGTATACATACTGTCAGTGGAATATTATCCTCAAGTTGCTGGGGGAAAGTATTTGGAAAATTAGAATTTTACGGAGTCCAATGATCATTTAAGATTGAGAACAAAATAAAGACATTTTCAGACAAACAGGACCTAAAAGTTTACTGCCCAAAGAACTTCGGTAATTGCTAAGGACATACTTAAAATTAAGCAAGAAAAAGGTGAACATAAAAAGTAGGATGCAAGAATCAACGGTGAGCAAGGAAATGGGAAACAGAGCTGAGTCAGACTAAGTAATGTATATTGTAAGATATGAACCTTCTTAAAATAATGGACCAACACAGGAAAACCTTGTATGACATTTTATACATTTATTCATTACTGAGGGATACATATTAAGGTTTTGTTTGACTTTTCTGGTAGTGAAACTACATAAAGCTATATCCTGATATATTTAGGGGATTTGGGCAAGTTTTAGTCTCTCTTTTACAAAACATGCCTTTTCCAACCTTACCTACTCTTCTTTCAACAGAAGTTATCCCTTCCTCTCTGGTAAGCACAAGCTCTTAAAGTGTTTTCACTGAATTTCTAAAGTTTACATATAAACTGTTCATCATTCAATAAAAGCATATTTACAAACCAGGCAAAAAGGGCCTCTAGACAGAATGCCCACCCACACCTCCTCCTCTGAGGCTGATTTCTTCAGAGGAGTCTTCTAAAAATAGTACTTCCCAGCCTCATTTCCTTCCACCTACCCCCAATCCCTTTTCACCACAACATCATCCACAGACGCAGGTTTTTATTGCTCTGGTTCCTGTACAGATCTCTATGGGATTGTTTTTTCATTTCTGTGTCTATCTGCCAAAACCTGGAACAGTGCCTGTTACATAGTAGGCATTTGATAATCTATTGAATGAACACATGCATAGCATTATGGCTTGGATATTTAAAAATTATTCGTAACTTACTTTCAAATTATACTCAGTTTGAGTTCAAATAGTTCAAAATCAATATAATATTTCAGGATGTTGTCAACTGTTGAAACAACTCAATTAAATATACTCATACTTTAAATTCATAATATAAGTAAAATTAAACACTATTATAAACATTAATGCTTTATATTTTCTCCCTGGCTGGGTAGCTCAGTTGGTTGGAGCATTGTCCCATACACCAAAAAGTTGTGGGTTTAATTCCCGGTCAGGACTCATAACCTAGGTTGCAGGTTCAATCTCTGGTCAGGGTGCGTATGGGAGGCAACCAATCAATGTTTCTCTCTCACATCGACGTCTCTCTCTCTCTCGAAAAAAGAATCAATAAAAACATATCCTCAGGTGAGGATTAAAAAATAATAATAATGCTTTATAGTTTGCCTATATTTTATAGTACACCACTATAGACACATAACAGTAGAATTACCTGGTAAATTTATGCTACATATTTTCAAAAATAAAACTGACATATCCCATCACCAATTTTATGGAAAAATGAAAGGTACAAGTTCTGGTACATTAGGACGTTAACTTTAAAAAAATAGGTTCAGCCCTGGCCGGTGTGGCTCAATGGTTAGAGTGTTGTCCTGTGTACTGAAGGGTAGTGGGTTTGATTCCTGGTCAGGGCACATACCCACGTTGCAGGTTCGATCTCTGGTTGGGACATGTGCAGGAGGCAGCTGATGGATATTTCTCTCTCCATCTCCCTTCCTCTCTTTAGAATCAATGAAAAACAAAACAAAATTTAAAAAAACACATCTTCAGGTGAGGAGAAAAAAAAAGTTCATAATCATAAGTTGGTATATTTGAGTATAAAAACATAAATAGTTTAACAACTTCAAGTTTCTCTAAATGTACAACTGGCAGAAAGATGAGCTGTAAGCCAATATACAATAACTATATCAGTTGCTTACATTCCCAAAATATTGAAAATGATGGGTAGAAATATTAGAAAGAAAATCTTTTCTGAAAAGAGATATAATTAAATGAGCCTCAGACCTATCATTGAAAATCAAGATTCTATTTCAATTACTACTTGGCTCTGGTAGGGAAAAGTCTGAACCATTCATTCAAAATAGAGTGACTTTATTTTCTTTTTTTTTTTATCCTCACCCGAGGACATTTTTCCATTTTTTGTTCAGGTAGAGTGGGAGGGAGAAAGAGGAACAGAGAGAGAGAGAGAAACATCGATGTGAAAGGAACACATCGAGTGGCTGCCACCCGCACAACCGACCAGGGCCGGGGACAAACTGCAACCGAGGTACGCGCCCTTAGCAGGAACTGAACCCAGGTCTCCCAGGACCGCAGGTCGATGCTCTAACCGCTGAGCCAAACCGGCCAGGGTGTGACTTTATTTTCCATTTCACACATAGCTGTCTAACCTTTTTTGAGAATGAAAAATTATTAGCTACTATTTGTGATTCAAGTTCTAGCACAGGTTATCCCTAAATGAACACTCAACTAGAGTACTGGCACAAGTGGTCTTCAGAATTTACTCCGTGTGGACACGGACACCTTGGTCCTTCTGGTGACTAGTTTCTTGGATGGGAATTCAAGACAGACTATCACAGAACAAACTCCAAGTTACAGTACATTGTGTTAAAGTAAGGCTCCAGTGTATTTTGGAAATGTAATAATAAGCTGCAGTTTTTTGTTTTTTTTTTCATGTTTACTGAAAGAAAACAATCATAGAAATTCTTTCTACCTTGGTCCACTGGATACACATCTCCCCAGAAAACATATCTGTTACAGACACTATTGATAACTTAACTTTCACTTTAAGCAATTATTTGGTAGTATCACTTCTTTATTTTATGGCTTTTAAAATACTAAGTTCTTAAATATTTGAAAAGTGTTTACTATTTTCTGATAGTTCACACACACACGAAGATGTGAAAATCAGTTTGGAAAATTAAAAAAACTTACAAAATCAGTTTTTTTTAAAGGTTATTCAATAACAGAAATTAAAGGTACAGAAGTGAAACAAACAAAAACTCATTTAAAAATCCCATACATGATCCCTTTCACAAAATGAATCTATAATCTTCTTTGTCAGGAGTGGGGGGAAAAGAATACAAAAAAGCTCCTCTTAAGTTTGGATACATTAGCAACATAAGTTTGTTATTTTTTTCCCATTTTCAAAATAAACCTTCAAATAATCCATTTTTTTAAGTCTAGAGTTTAAAAAAAACAATAAATGTGATATTAAAATTCTTTCTTAAAGTATCTTGACCAACTCACTGTATAGGCTTAAATTAAAATGAGCATTTGTTTAAAGACTTATGTATATGAAAAATGTACATTTCCAAATAAAAAAGTTAACTATATACATTTAATAACGTTACATACAATTAATATAAAGGCTATATAAGGCTTTAGGAAGCTCAAAGTCTAAGCAAGTTTTAGCAGGTAAATCAGTTCATATAACATTATAATTCTAATGATCAATTATCTAACCACTAAGCCACAAAACCTTATTTATGATAGGAAAAGAATCTAGTGTATTTACTTTGAATACAGAACCACAGTTCTGTTCCCTAAGCTGAAAAACGTTGGGCAAATTAATTATATATATAAATATATAAAACTAATATGTAGTTTGTTAAACCATATATTAAACTACATGGTTTAAAAGTATTGATTGAGGTACAAGAGATTTTTGACGGATTTTCCAAATTTATAGAATTAGGGAGACCTAGATTATAGTATATATCAAAGGTCATAGATTAGTTATTTGCTATTTTTTGATTCTTTAATGAGAAATCATACCAAATGATCTATAATCTCTTGTAGCTCTAAACTTTTGATTGTATTGTTTTGCTTTTAAATAATTAAGACTTTTTACACCCCTCTCCTGGCTTTTAGTCCCCCACAATCAGTTATTAGTGGGAAACAAATGCCACATATTTATCAACTGATTCCTAACCCCTGTGCCCTCTCCTCTCTCCAGAGCCCACAGTGCCCAGCACATGGTAAGTGCTCAATGTTTACTGGATATTCTTGAATGAATAGCAAAATATTAAGGATAAATCAATAATTAGAGACAATATGAAAGTGATAATAGTCGCTATTATAAAACCCCCAAACAATAATTCAGAAGTTTCTAGTCTCTTTTTAGATTTACTTTGGTTTGGCTTTGTAAATAACAGCAAGAGAAAATATGGACAAGAAAACAAGGTTAAATCATTGTAAGGTAAACTATAAGTAAGGTTATTAAGTAAACTTAAATAAAAAATTTGTTTCTATCAACATATTGAAGAAATTAATTTTATTTACACTACTAGTAGATCCCAGCTACTCCAGTTACTTTGAGATATAATCATCTTATCAACAACAGAAAAAATATCTTCCAGTATTTCAGTTTTAACTATTGTAACCAAATTGCTTACTTATACTATAGAGTAAGAAGCAATTAATGAATTTTTTTGGAAATAAAAAATATGTATATACATTACCCTGATGCCTAGGCTAAAATATATCTAACAACAAATTTTCTTGATTTCTATTAGTCATAAAAATAAAGGAAAAATATATTGCAAATATTTCTTTGTAGATAATTTCAATTAGAAAACAATAGTTTAATGAAAACAATACAGAGGTTCATGTGAATTGACAGGAGGCAAGAGAAGTAGTCAAAACTTGATAGATAACATGTCAAATAGAACTAAAGAACATCTGCCTCAATGATACCTCGGTAATTAAATTTTTACACATCTCAATTTAATCTCACATTCAAGGAAAATACAAGTCAGTAGGTTATGACGCTAAGTCATAGTTAAGAACCCCTTCTTTTAGCTTGTAAGATGTAGCCTTTTGATTTGATAATTCCTCTACTTTTAACAATGACTGAATATCGCAGTAGCCACAGTGGCACCCACTCGTGCGCTTGAATGTCAGGGATGCTTTCCCGAAGAGCTTCTTGGAAACTTGCTTCAGAAAGCAGCTCTTAAAACAAACAACAACAAATAAAAACCCAGAGTTAAATGTGAAAACAAAGGGACTTTACTATGTAAGTAAGCATTTAAATATAACAAAAGATACACTTCAAAATTGAATATAAGATAGGCTTATCCTTAATGGATACTGTGAACCAGAATGTCAGAAGGTCCAAGGCAGTTCTGCAGAAAGTATTTACACCTGTAACCCCAGCCTATTTAATCCATAACTTCTAGTGAATGGAGCCTGAATATTTGTATTTTTTCTGAAGATCTCTAGGTGATACTAATGTATTGCTAAGGAAAATACAGAAAAGTTGAAAGAAGGGAAAAAAATGTTACCCATTATCCTCTCAATCATTTCCATTGTCATGTACTTTTTTCCAACTTTTTTCTAAACCTATCTTAATATCTTAAAAACTAGAAATCATACTGTAGTTACAGCCTAATTTACTTATTTTTCCAGTTATGTTACGACTATTCCCCATGTAACTAAATATTCCATGAAAGCATTATTTTAAATAATTTTCCCAATATTACATTATACAAATATCAAAATTTATATACTTCTTTATTGTTGGCCAAAAATTGTTTTATTTTTTCCCCTCAAATATTTTCCTAATAAAAATAATGAGCATCTGCCCAGCCGGTGTGGCTCAGTGGTTGAGCGTCGACCCATGCACCAAGAGGTCGCAGGTTCGATTCCTGGTCAGGGCACATGCCCAGGTTGTGGGCCAAATCCCCAGTGGGGACATGCAGGAGGCGGCCAATTGATGTTCTCTCTCATTGATGTTTCTATGTCTCTCTCTCTCCCTTTAAAACAATAATAATAATAATAATGAACATCCTTAAAATGCACGCCTGGCTATGGAATGACAAGGTCAAAGTACAAGTCCATTTTGAAGACTAGATATATAACACATTGCCAGCTGCTTTCCAGAAAGACCATCTTTTACACTTCCAGCAGCCATTGATGATGTTAGTGCCAATCTTACCCTATCCCCAGGAGCACCAGCAATCATTTAAAGAATCTTTGCCAATGGTTATCTTTTAATTTGCATCTCTTTGATGAAATCATTACTTTCTATTCCACATTCGTGTCCAAGCCCTCAACTACTACTCTGATGTACCACCCCCCTCCGCCCTTCCTCTTCTCCAGGGACACTGGCTTCACAGCTGTAACCGGGAATCCTCAAGCACATGTTTGCACCAGCTGCTCCCTCTTTCATGAACACTCTTTTCCCAGATACCACATGGCTTTCTCCCTTCTTGCAGGTCTCTGATGAACATAACCTTATCAGGGAGGCCTCCCTGACCACCCTATATAAAACAATAATCCCTAACCTGGTTATTCTTCTCCCTCAACCAACTTTTCTCCATAGCATAATATCACCATTTATCACATTTAACATTTATATTATTGTCTCCTCCCATCAGAAAATAAATTCCGTGAGGGTTGGAATTTGTCTGACTTGGTTCTATATCTCTAGATACAGATATAGATATAGACACAGATATCTCTAGATATAGATATGCCTGGAACAGAGTAGGTGTCTACTGAATAAATCAAACAATATAGAAAGATTCCACTGGGGTCAGAACCAACCATACAGCTAGATATTAAGTGACCATCTATATACAGTGTGATTTGGGAGCACTAAAGGACCTGTTTGCCCCAAATGAACTGCTGTGATATTTGAATAGCACCAACAGTCAACTACCAGTAAATGTTACTTATTATTACGTGCCAGGCACTTTTCTGAGTACTTTACGTGTATTAACGCATTGAATCCACATGTTAATTAACCCTATGAGATAGGTAATGTCATCCCCCTTGACGAGGGGACACCAAAGCAGACAGGTTAGATAACATGCCCAAGATCACACAGCTAGTAAATGAGTTTTCATAAAGAGAATGCAAATGTCTTTTTAGGAAAAGCAACATTAACATGGATTTGTTTATCAGATAGTCTATCAGAGAAGAGAATTATCTTGAGGGACGAAGGCATAATACAGATTAGATTTTATGGGAGTGGGGTGAGGGGTAGCAAAAACAGTTTCACAATTTTATCCTGACGTAGTTAAACTGTTACCACAACTTCTAGAACAAAGAGTAATGGAAAATAAATACTTCCTGAAGAATAAGGGTAGTTTAGAACAGAGGTAGGCTTTTAGGGGACTTATAAACAAAATTCTATTTTAGATGACAAGCACAGTTAAATGTTTTACAACTTGGTTACTGAAAAAAAAAAAAAATTTGACACTGTGGACAAAAACTAAAAGCAACCTCACAGAAAGAGATGAAGGAATTAAGAAGTACAAATTGGTTGTTAGACTGATGAACCTCAAAGGGAAGGAGGGAGGGCGGGATGAGAGAAACCAAAAATTTCTATGCATATATGCATAACCAATGGATACAGACAATAGTGTGGGGAAGGCAGGGGGGGACAGGACTGGGGAGGAGGGGGGCAATGGGGAAAAAAGGGGGAACATCTGTATTCAACAATAAAGATGAGTTAAAAAAATAAAATAAAATAAAAGCAACCTCACAGGGCGAGCTGATCATAAATTCCTAACTGGGCAGGTCATGGTGAGTAGTCATGTCTCAGGCATGTAATTTCTTTAGTGAAAGGTTTCTCTTAGCCTTAAGCAAGCTCTGTTCATTGTATTTGTGCAACTAGGTAAGGCATTTTTGAAATGCCTTTTTCAGATCCTTGGAAGCCTAACCACCCTCAACAACATAATCTTGTCAACTATCTTATACTCCACTCCCCACCTTGCTTTCTCCCACCTTCCTGTATTCTTTCTTATGTTCCCTCCTTAATTCCAAATGTATAAATAAGAGAAGCTGCAAACTATTGTTCCCTGGAGCATCTGAGATCTTGCTTCCTGGCATTGTCTTCAATTTGGCTCAAATAAACTTGTAAAAATTCTCTACAGGTTTGGACATTCTTAGGTCAACAACATAAAATCAAAGAACTATGCTATTCATTAACTACATACTTTTAAATTTATTTATTTAATAATCCTCACGCAAGGATATGTTATTAGAGAGAAAGAGAGGGAGAAAGGGAGGAAGGGGGAGAGGGGGGAGAAATATCAACTGGCTGACTCCCATACACACCCTGAATGGGAATCAAACCCGCAACCTAAGCATGTACCTTGACCAGGAATTGAACTCACAACCTTTTGGTGTACAGGATGCTTCAATCAACTGAGCTACCTGGCCAGGGCTTAACTACACACTTTTGATTCAACTATGTTAACTCCTTAGTATCAGTAAACACAACAAATCTTTTAAGAGGAGAATTGCTTAATTTACAGACAAAAGTGTATGAAGATTCATTAATGGCATATGCAGGATCAGCCTCTAAATTCTAATCAAAGAGTTTAGAATTAAAATTAAAAAGACATCCAATTGTCAAATTATGTCAGTAAAACAAAAGCATACAAAAAAAGGATGAAATTTCTCTTCTCATATATATATATGCACTGTATTTTGCTATAACAATGATGTTATCAGAGCACATAATCCACATGCCAACATTTAAATAATGTGGAAACAAAATACTAGACACCTTAGTCTTTTCCTATTTCCTTTCCTACTAAAAAAATAATAGTTTTTTTTTTCCAAGTGGAGCCAGGTCGGGTTACTGGCTCATCCATCAGCTCCTGGTAATAGCTGCTATTAGTAATTACTTGTTGGAAGAACCCCCAACCCAAAGTAAATAGGTAAATTGATATTATATTTCCATCATATGGAAAGTTAAAACTTAAATGGTTTATATTACAGAATGAATCAGCAATAGCAGTTCTTTGTTAGATTTTCACTAAAATGACTTTAAAAAAATGAATCCATATGCTATGCTGTATTATCTTTCTGATTTGAAACATTTTAAACCAGAGAGATAGTATAGCATAGTGGGGAAAGGCTCCAAACTCAGCCAGGACCAAGGTCCAAGTTCAAACTTTGCCCTATGCCAGTGAAGTGACCTTGGCTCAGTTCTTAAACTCTGAGGCGCTAGTTCCTCATGAACAGAATGCCTGTATATTTATCACTGTACACAATTAGAAATTCAATTTTAACAAGTAGCTTCTCGTAAGATAAAAGCCTATGATCAAAGTCTACAAACGAAAATCTATCTTACCTTTTGGATCATTATGAGTCAATAGCTGTATGTCAAATTGTTTAGCAAATGCAGTCAAATCGGGTGGCATCACACAGCAGGAGGCAAGATTAACTTGGTTACTATTTGGTTTTACCTAGAAGTGAAAAAAAATACTCATGATATCGTCACTAAATTAAGTACTACTAAAAGTAGACAGTAATACAAGGACTCGATTTTAGAAAATACGAAATATCACATTCTATAGAACTTAAGTTTATAAAATACTTTTACATGAATATATTTATTAATATATGTTTTTCTAACTCACGTTAGTAGTAACAGGGAAAGGAAAAATAGCTGGGGCGGTGGGAGGGAAAGAGCCAATATAGTATTATACTATTAAAAAATCTCCTGCTAGAACCTGCAATCTAATACAACTGCCTCAGATACAAACTTGACTCTGAGTGTGATGGTTCCAACTACATAGGCAATATGTCTTAAAGATAGAGGACCAAATACAAATAAGTACATTTAATGTTAAAGTATAAAATATGATTATTAATTAGACACATTCTGAAAAAGAGAAGAATTAGATTCATTTCTAATAGCTCCTCTGGTTAATTTATAGATATATTCTGGATCACCAAAGTCTCTACATCAAGATCTTGGCCACATTCTAGCTACCACCAAGTCAAAGGGAGAAGGGACAATACTTTCTCTAGGGTCTTCCTGTCCGTAAGAAATTGAAAGCTCTGAAAAGGATGAGGCTGGGGATGAAGTACAAGGAATAGAGATACAGAGAATAAAGGTAAAATATTAGTAAGCAAATTCCCTAATAATTTGTATATTATTAGTCCACATAGTGGTGGGGATTAATTTATGATGCTCAGTCTATTATCAAGTGTATGAACTAGGTCTTATATATTTTTAAATAACAGTCAGCAACATATTTATTATATACAATATCCTCTTATTTAGGAAATTAGAAACATGGTCTATCAATACCTAATGAAGTATGTTTCCTTCAGTTTCACATAAGTAAAACTGAAGGAAACAGACTTAATTCACCTGGCTATGAATTCTTCAATACACATTTTCTAGTGTTTTTGTCACTCATTTTAAATGAGATTAATATTAAGTTCAATTAGACATCTTTTTGAGGGGGGGAAACTCTAATGCTGTTTATAAAGCTATCTTCAAAACCTCTACTTTTGGATCATCCACCCCACAGTGAGTGTCCACTATGTGCAGGATGCCCAACAGTATACAGCAGCAACTGTGAGAGACAGCCCCCCGCCCCACCCCCCACTCCCACCCAGAGTGCTCATGATCTAGCTGTCCTTTACCTGGGCCCACTGATACAGCTGTTCCAACTGTGTTTTGTCCAGATCAGAGGTGCCTATAGCAACAATCTTTTTACTCTGAACCAAGTTTTCTAATTCCTCCCAGTAAGGCTGCAAATGCTGCAGGGAAAGATTAACTCCATCTTCAGTAGGAGGTGAAGCAATGATCACAGAATCCAGCTGTGCAACTCCAAGGACTGAACAGGCTGATGTGAAGGAAAACACAAAGAGGATCAATGTTTGTTACATAATAAAAACAAGTATTTCTAATGCCCTTCAACCATCCCACTGAATTCTGTCCATATATTCACTAGTTTTCTATAGAACAGATTACTTGACTCAGTTTCATAATTTATGCTGAAAATATTTCCATCTTTTAAAAAGGTTTAAGTGTCGCCCTGGCCGGTTTGGCTCAGCGGTTAGAGCGTTGGCCTGTGGTCCAGAGAGACCCGAGTTCGGTTCCCGCTAAGGGCACGTACTTCGGTTGCAGTTTGTCCCCGGCCCTGGTTGGTCGTGCGGGTGGCAGCCACTCGGTGTGTCCCTTCACGTCGATGTTTCTCTCTCTCTCTCCCTTCCTCTCTCTCCCTCCCACTCTATCTGTACAAAAAATGGAAAAATATCCTCGGGTGAGGATAAAAAAAAAAAAAAGGTTTAAGTGTCTAGCCCTGGCCAGGTGGCTCAGTTGGCTGGAGCATCATCCCATACACCAAGTTTGATTCCCGGTCTCGGCACAAACCTAGGTTGCAGGTTCAATCCCTGATTGGGGTGCATATGAGAGGCAACCAATTGATGTTTCTCTCTCACACCTATGTTTCTTTTTCTCTCTCCCTTCCTCTTCCTCTAAAAATCAATAAAAACATATCCTCAGGTAAGGATTTTTTTAAAAAAGGGTAAATGTTCATTCATCTACTTGGTCTGTGTGGTAGATAAGTGGGTTTCTTTGACCTGCCTCTTCTTAGGAACCCACAGATACTTTAGGCTCCTCTTTTTGGGGGAAGAGGCCTTCTTGTTTCCTAGGTCCCAGGATTTTTTGGTGGCTTCATTAATTCATAACATTTTCTTTAGTTCTACTAGTATCTCATATAGCTGATAAAAAGAATTCTGACCTAATAGCCTGCAATTGGTAGCCACAGCAAAAAATAAGCCCGAAACTCTGAAAAACTGAATGTATGGTCTTAATCTATATTTATAGAGGTAGATCATTTCTTAGCTTCTATAAAAATAATTTGAGTTTACTTTTAATACTTATTGTTCACTCCAAAGTTATATTAAAGAACTATTTAAGTGTTCCACATACATAAATACTGGAAAAATGTTTTAAAAGAAAAAAATACTGAATAACTATAATAATACCATCATTCCCTAAACCAAGTACTGAAAATAGATAAAAATGCTTGGCTTGTTTGTTGTTGTTGTTGTTTTGATATTTCATCTATGGTATTAAAAGGGCTAAGGATATGATTAAAGAGAATTTCTATCTCCAAAGGCATAATTAACATTTAATTATGTTACATCTTTTATATGCATCTTATATACCAAAATATGATGCTATATAAGTTAATATGATTCTACAGAAGCCTTAGGAAATTAGGCTAGAACTTTAATATATTTCTTTTTTTTTTTTCCTCACTGGAGGACATTTTTCCATTTTTTGTACAGATAGAATGGGAGGGAGAGAGAGAGAGAAAGAGAGAGAGAGAGAGAGAGAGAGAGAGAGAAACATCGACGTGAAAAGCACACATCGAGTGGCTGCCACCCGCACGACCAACCAGGGCCGGGAACAAACTGCAACCGAAGTACATGCCCTTAGCGGGACCTGAACCTGGGTCTCTCTGGACCGCAGGCCGATGCTCTAACCGCTGAGCCAAACCGGCCAGGGCTAGGCTAGAACTTTAAAAGGCAAAATGGGAATGAGTTCATTTTCTTTTTTATGTGGACCTGAACATAAGAAATAATACACCTATGCTAATTTAAAATCCACTATAAAGATAAAAAGTTAATACTTTGCTTACCCATGTCAACTGCATTTCTAGTTGAAGAAGAGTTTGATCCTACAATGAATAGTTTTGCTGGGTAACAAAGAAAACAAAACTGATTACTACATTTGGGTAACATTCTACTATATAGTATTGATACTGCTAATAATACTAAGATGACATAATCCTGAATAAATTATTTTTCCTTTCCTAGTAACATAATTTTATAGTTTTCATTTTAAGACATAAAAGTATATTTTCATTGTAATTTTAAAATTACATGCTAGTTGCCAACAAAAATATTGGTTTGTCAAAATAAAAAAGCAAATATTAATTATCCATAAATTAGAAGGCAGGTCAAATAAATATAGAAACTTATTACTCAAAATGTACATTTTATGAATTAAATATAATGGAGCATATTACTACTTTCTCCAATAAACTAAAATCTATATATAGACTAAAATGAAATTGCTTGTAATGTGATGAAAACTGAAAACAACAAACTAACTGCTCCCTCCCACCCCCCATATCCCACCTTCATAATACAATCATTTTTAAAACATTTTAGACATTACCTTCTAGTTCTTGGTCAAATGAAGCAGGGCATAAGATTGTTTCTACTTGGTTTACCTTTATGTAATATTTTTTTAAATCTCTATGCAGTAGTTATCTTAATTTTTTTATCGTAATAGTAATGTATTCACTCTAGTGTGAGGAAAACTTACAAATGAGTAGAAAGACTTAAAAAAAAAAATGCCAATAGTCTCACCACCAAAAGCCATTACTGTTAGATTTCTCTGTACTCTGTACTTTTAATGAATAATTTTACATACTCGTTTATATTTATTGGATTAATTGAGGTGACATTGGTTAATAAAATTATATAGGTTTCAGGTGTACGCTTCTATAATATATCATCTGTATATTGTATTGTGTGTTCACCACCCCAAGTCAAGTCTCCTTCCATCACCACTTATCCCTACTATACCCATACTCATTTTTAATGATTGAACATTATTCTATAATTTTGATAGGGTATAATTTACTAAATGATTTCATGCTTTTTAAACATTTAGGTTAGTTCCAGGTTTTTGTTATCATATATAATGCCAACATAAACATCTTGGAAACTTTTGTTCAACATTTATGCTGAAGCATTTCCCAAGGATAAATGATCAGCAATGAGATTATAAGTCAAAGGATGTGATCTTTTTTGTGAGTATTGTTCTATTTTATTTACCTCCTAAATTTTATCAGACCACTAAAAGTTAAGAGTTGTTCTAACAACACAGAATGCTATTAAAAATGTTATTAAAATATATATATATTTGTTAATTTAGTAGGTATAATATATACCTACCCATTAATTGGCATTTCCTTCTTCAACTTCAACCAGGAAAGTTGAGTAGTTTTCTAAATTTATAAAATTATGGCTTTGGCTTGATTTTAACTCAACTTGACATGTCTATATTTACTGTATATAAATTCACTGTTCAAAAATCTAAATTTACTCAAAATGGAGTAGTAGGAGAGAAGAAAGAGAGAAAAATCCCAAAGGGGAAAGGATAGAAAACGGCTAATGAAATACCCTATATAAAGTGTCTGGCATCCAACATATACAACAAATTTTCCTTGTACATTTATTTCTCCTTTCTTTTCTACTGCTAGATAATCTTCCTAAAACACTGCTTTCCTCATGTTACTTCTCTATTTAAAAGCCAGCTCAGTTCCTCTACCAGGCAAGTCAATCTTCACCACTTTGGCCCAACCTTAGCTCCCATAATTATACTATGAAAGCCCTCCCCACCACAAGCCTTCTGGCTATGAATGTGTGCTACCTGAAATGACCTCCTCTGAAAGAAGAGGCATTTTTAGAGAAGTAGAGAGAGGAAAGCTGTTCATGTGGGGAGAAGTATGATACTTATCAAGCCGTCTAGGAACTGAGGACAACTTGTTAGAACTCCAAGATGAATCTAAACCATAATGAACTACAATCAACGACAGAGAAAATGTTCTTTTACTTCTTTTACAACACAAACAGCAATGTGAAATTAATAGAAATAAATGGATTTTGAAGTCAGGCATCCTTGGCTGGATTCCTGGTTCAACCACTTACTGGCTGTATGACAACTTTCAAGTTATTTAATGTCACCTGTGCAATGGGGATAATGGACCTACCTTGTAGAACTGTTTTGAGAATTATAAGAAATATAATCAAAAAGGATTTAAGTACAGTGCCTGGTACCAAGTAAAACTTCACAATGGTAGTTATTACAGTCAAAAGCCAATGCCCTATCTCATCTTATACATCCATCTCCCACAAAAATAATAACCACAACACAAATAATAAGTAATAGCTACTTGGCACTTAACTTTGTGCCAAGCGTTGTGGTTGAGCGCTTCTTTTGTAATTTTACATAACTTACAAATAAGCCTGTGAAACAGATGAATCTCCATTTTATAGATGAAGAAACTGAGGCTCAGAGAGATTAAATTACTTGTTAGCCCAAGATTATTCCAGTCAGAAATCTGCATGTCCAGGAATTTCAATCTAGTGAAGTTCAAGCTTTTCATCACTAAGCTATGCTGACTATAAACTGAGTTCAAGAACAGTGCCCCTTTTCAGTTTTTCATTCCTTGAGCTTAGCATGGTCTCTGGAAAGTAATCACTTGATACACTTGTTGAATTGGTATAACATGTATTTTATTTCTCTTCATGCAACTTGTTGCCCAGATTTCTTTCTATACTTCCAGGCCACCTCAGCCATTGTTTGGCAGTGCGCCCCCAGGAAGAGAGGGCTTATGTCTGCTTTGGGTAGACAATGTTCTTAAGACTTCCCTTTATTCTTTCCATTTCCTCCAGCTTAATCTTCTCATTGTTCTCAAGTCCAAAATATAAATAAAAGCGAAGAACAGTAAAGTTCTATTGCAACTCCACTGAGATAGCCAACACTGACCCTCTTTAACACCCTCTAAGAGTTGACATTAGAATGTATATGCCCCACTCTTAGTGACTGTCACGCATTACCAGAAGCAAAGAAAGGCTTATTCCCATGCCCGATAAAACCTCACTATCACTTCCACTATATAACAATGAATTGGAAAGGCTAGACTTTACCAGAAACTTTCATTTCTTCTCTTTCATCAGGATTTATCTTTTCTACTGCATGAGATACAGTACATTCCAAGACATCTGGCAACTCCTATAATAAACACATGATGTTTACAATAAATATAAAATGTTTCAGATTAGCTATATATTTTCTACTGTCCATAATGCCCTTTAACAGCAGAGAACCCCAAAGATAACAGGGTTCTTTACCTGGAGTCTGAATGGGCTTCATAAGGTTTGTAAAGCTCTGAAATACAGGTAAAACACTTTGTGCATGTGTGTCCCTTTTCTGAGAAAAGGTATCTCATTTTGAACAGGTACTCAGATTAAAAAAATAAATAAATGGGGGGCAGGAGGCCTCTAAGGACTTAGAAACACTAGAACAGTGCATATTTTTACTTAGAAAAGAAATCAATGAAAAATAATAATATCCATTTTGGATAATGACATGTTAAAAACTTTCTACATTAATCACAAACATTTTAAACCATTTTGTTTTTCTAAGTGCAATAAAAAAAACTAAAAGTCATTCCAATGCATAATGAATAATCTACGAGGAAAATGATAAAATGTTAGCACATATAATTAACTCACATTTACAAGATTAAAATAAACAGTGAGGCCTTGCTCACAATTCTTGAGCGTATTACAATGCCTGGCAGAGTAAGTGTTCACTAGTCATGCATAAATAGAGTAAATGGTCATTTCAGAGAAACAGAGACTTTAATCAACACATATCTAGCAGCTAACGAGTTATAAAACGTGCAGTATGCCCATGGGAACAAGTATGTCCAGCACACAACTTCTTCCATTCTTCTAAAGTAGTCTATGTAATTTGTTATATACCTTTGGCTGAGTTGGATCCCAAAGAGTGGTTTACAGACCGGTGTTCTGTATATTAACATTTATGATAATAGTCATACATTGACATTTAGTGAAACACAGTTCCTTATTGTCTCAGCAGAAACTGACATTTAAAAAAATTATTTCTAGTACTGTATTATTGGGGTGGATAGTCTACCAAAGCAATCTACCAACTAAAACTGTTTAATAATAGTCATTCCTTTATCAGGCCAAATACAAATTGGAACAAAATACATTATGAGGAAACTCTGATGGGAATTAAGTATGGAGAATCCTAGTATTTTGTCTAGTTGAAGAGTTAACTACAGAGCCTACATTTTCTGTTTCATTATTAAGCCTACTAAGTCAGACTGCCATCTCAGCATATCAGCCACAGGACATTTTATGCTAATTGTCTATTTGACTTTCCTATCAAAACTGAGGAAATTAATTTCCTGCTTACTGAAGTTCACCTCCCTTTTGGACTACATGATTTCTTGACCCACATTTTACTCACCCTGACCAAATCAGGGCTGATTTGGGAACTCCACTCATTCAAGGTCTTTTGGATACAATCTCGAAGCTGCAAAAGGAATGCATTTTGAAACTGTTAATCAGACTCTATATACTTTTCTATATGTATATGATAAAAATGTATTAGTTTGATAAGTAGGAAAAATAAGTCAATAGAAAATATAATACAAACCAAAAGTTTAGTTCTACAAGGTTGTTTTAACAAAGATAAATTTGTATCTATTTTTATCCTACTCTTAATTCTCAAATATTGATGACCTAAAACAGTAATCTAATTATTTAAAAAGTGTTTTGGTATCAATAAAATTTAGAGACATAAAAACATCCATAGCCCTGGCCGGTTTGGCTCAGGATTTAGAACGTCCGCCTGTGGACCAGAGAGGCCAAGGTTCGGTTTCCGCTAAGGGCATGTCCCTCAGTTGCAGTTTGTCCTCGCTCGTGTGGGTGGCAACCACTTGATGTGTCTCTCTCACTTCCATGTCTCTCTCTTCCTCCCTCTCGCTCTCCTGCTCTATCTGAAGATGAATGCAAAAATGTCCTCGGGTGAGGATTAAAAAAGAGAAAATCCATAAACAACAAAAAAGGCTCTAGCTAGTTTGGATCACTAGTTAGAGCGTCAGGCTTGAGGACTAAAATGTCTTGGGTTTAATTCCCAGTCAGGGGCACGTACCTTGGTTGTGAGTTCAATCCCCAGCCCTGGCTGGAATCCTGCGGGAGGCAACCAATCCAAATGTCTCTCTTACATCAATGTTTTTCTCTCCCTCCCTCCCACTCTATCTAAAAAAGATCAATGGAAAAATATCCTCGGGTGAGAATTAAAAATACAAAAAACCCAACAGTGAAGTTTATAGCCCTAGCCAGTGTGGCTCAATTGGTAGGAGTGTCCTTCCACACACCAAAAGGTCATGGGTTTGATCCCTGGGCCTGGTTGGGGCATGTATGGGAGGCAAGGAATCAATTTTTCTCTCACATGGATGTTTCTCCTTTTCCCTCCCTCCTCTATAAAACTCAATGATAGCCCTGGCCGGTTTGGCTCAGCGGTTGGAGCGTCGGCCTGCGGTACAGAGAGACCCGGGTTCGGTTCCCGCTAAGGGCACGTACCTCGGTTGCAGTTTGTCCCCGGCCCTGGCTGGTCGTGCGGGTGGCAACCACTCGATGTGTCCCTTCACATCGATGTTTCTCTCTCTCTCTCTTCCTCTTCTCCCTCCCGCTCTGTCTGAACAAAAAAAAAAAATGCAAAAAAAACCCCACAAAAAAACAAAAAAAAAACCCTCAATGATAATATCCTTAGGTGAGAATTTAAAAAAAGAATAAAGTTTATAGTGGAGAAACATGGGCTCAAGCCCAGGTAGCCTGACTAGAATTAATATTAACCACTATGTTATATTCCTCAAAGACAAACGATTCTCTAAATGTGGCCAGAGGAACTCCTACATCAGATTCACCTGTGGCTTTTACTAAAAATTCAAATTCCTGAGCCCCATAGTAGACCTGCTTAATCACTCTATAAGGGCAGAACTTATATTTAAAAAGCATCCCAAGCAATCGATATGTACTCTAAAGTCTGAGCACCACCATAGTCATATCTTACAGAGTTCCATGTGACTGTCAGTCCATGTCATTTCCTAACTCTTAGGTACAAGAGTTCCAATCTGTCTGCAATGTTTTCTTATACAAACAATTAAAACTGTTACACTAACATTGTAGTATGTTATAAATTCACTCAAGAGTTTATATTCTTTTTTTTTAAATCTTCACTCGAGGACATTTTCTTGCATTTATCTTCAGAAACAGCAGGAGGGAGAAAGGGAGGAAGAGAAAGAGAGAAACATCATATGAGAGAGACACATCGACTGGTTGCCACCCACACAACCCCAACCAGGGCTGGGGACAAACTGTAACCGGGGTATGTGCCCTTAGCGGGAACCGAACCCAGGGCTCTCTGGACTGCGGGCTGACGCTCTAACTGCTGAGCCAAACTGGCCAGGGTGAGTTTATATTCTTTTAATCCTCACTCGAGAACTTTTTTCCATTTTTTGTTCAGATAGAGTGGGAGGGAGAGAGAGGAAAAGAGAGAGAGAAACATTGATGTGAAAGGGATACATCGAGTGGCTGCCTCACACACGACCTAACCAGGGCCGGGGACAAACTGCAACTGAGGTACGTGCTCTTAGCGGGAACCAAACCTGGGTCTCTCTGGACCACAGGCTGATGCTCTAACTGCTGAGCCAAACCGGCCAGGGCGAGTTTATATTCTTTTTTTTTTTTTATCCTCACCCAAGGACATTTTTCCATTTTTTGTACAGATAGAGTGGAAGGGAGAGAGAGGAAGAGATAGAGAGAGAGAAACATCGATGTGATAAGGGACACATCGAGTGGCTGCCACCGCATGACCAACCAGGGTCGGGGACAAACTGCAACCAAGGTACGTGCCCTTAGCGGGAACCGAACCCAGGTCTCTCCGGACCGCAGGCTGATGCTCTAACCGCTGAGCCAAACCAGCCAGGGCTATATTCTTTTATGTCAGTATATTTCAAACTTATCTGATAGTGGTCCAAAGCAATACATACATTTACATAGTGAGGACCTCCATACATATAATAGAACATTTTCAAGACAATATTTATGTTCTCTATATACCAGGCACACTCTGACGGCTTCTATGAATTAGAAAAAAATATGCTGCTACATAACTCACTAAATTGATTTCTGACTACTAACGGGTAACACTAGCAGTTTGAGCCAAACCGGCCAGGGCAACACTAGCAGTTTGAAATCACTGCCTTATAAATATCCAATGGCAAAGTGTTTGCATTCTGTGGACAATCAATGAAAAAATAAATGTGTAACTAGAAGCAAATCCCTGAATTGCAAAAGCACTTTCCTAATAGCAATAACAGAGACTAAACTTCTGAACTATCTGATCTATTGCTGCTTATGCTAAAAACTGATATACACACTTTATTGCTTATTATCTTAGTATAGATAATTACAAAGGACAATTGGTTTACCAACTGAAGAGCTCAGAGTCACCTATGTTAAGATTTATAATCCACAACAATACAATAACCCACATGGATTCAAATTACAAAGTCTATCTTTACAGAAAGTATAATTATAATCGTACTTAAGTCAGTAGATAAAAATTAGTTAATAATCATTCCAGACAATTACAAGTCAATATTTTTTTAAAAATGAGTAAAGCTGAGGCAGCAGGATGGACTGGAAGTTAACAATTCTATCAGGAGTACTTGGGCTCAAATCATGGGAGAATTTGAACTTTTCCTTTGAAAGGATGGCTCATTTGCATACGCAAGGCTTTCCTGGTGAATGCTAATTCAGGAGGATAAATATATTTCCTGACTATTCACCCCCTTCTTCAAACAATTTCTTAATTAATCTTGGATTCTGAAAAATGTCAGAATAAATCATAGCACAATCCAATGTTACAATAATAGGAGAAATTCACTGACTATATCACAACCTAATGATTTTTATCTTTACATGTTTTTTGGGGTTTTTTTTATCCTCACCCAAAGACATTTTTGCATTTATCTTCAGACAGAGTGGGAGGGAAAAAGGGAGGGAGAGAGAGAGAAACATCGAAGTGAGACAGACACATCAAGTGGTTGCCACCCACACGACCCCAACCAGGCCCGTGACAAACTGCAACCAAGGTACATACCCTTAGCGGTAACCGAACCCAGGACTCTCTGGTCTGCAGGCCAATGCTGTAACCGCTGAGCAAAACCAGCCAGAGCACTTTCTTCATTCTTAATATATGCGTGCGTGCGCGCGCACACACACACACACACACACTATCACTGAAGATAAGTGTCATCATAATGTAGGGTATCATTAAACCTGCAGTTGTATAAGATTTTAAAAAATAGTAATGATTCAACTGGTGAACTACCCTTTTTTTTTTTTTTTGTGGTACGTGCCCCTAGCAGGAACCTAACCCAGGACTCTCTGGTCCACAGGCCAACGCTCAACTGCTGAGCCAAACTGGTCAGGGAAGTCAACTACCCTTACAACAAAGAACTGGGCTAAACAGTCCTATTATGGCCCACTTAAAAAACAAGATCTGATTTCATAAAATTCCAGTGTAACAAAACATCTGGGCAGATATCACAGAATAAAAACAAAAGCAAATATTAGCACTAGAATAGAATTTTTAGAAAATTTCATTAAACTCTCTACTCAGGGTGTAAATTTTCTCAGTAATGAGTGATTTATTCAGTTTCTTTATTCAATGAGGTTAAACTGTTTCAAGCAGCACACCCCAATTTGATGGCCCTGGTTATTACAAAGTTCTTTTTTAAGTGAAAACACAACATGCATATTTTCCCTACAATATGCTGCCATATCTCAAGTGTTCCTCAAATATTTTCTAGTTTCTTTAGTTTTTCCCTCTTATGCTACACCCAAAATAAGACACACAAACCAGAATTAGTCTTTTTTCTTTTTATCCCCACCTGAGGACACTTGTTTCCATTTTTTGTTCAGATAGAGTGGGAGGGAGAGCGAGGAAGAGAGAAAGAGAGAGAGAAACATCGATGTGAAGGGAACACATGGAGTGGTTGCCACCCGCACGACCCAACCAGGGCCGGGGACAAACTGCAACCAAGGTACGTGCCCTTAGCGGGAACCAAATCCAAGTCTCTGGACTGCAGGTCAAAGCTCTAACCGCTGAGCCAAACTGGCCAGGGCCAGAATAAGTCTTTTGAACGATGTTTATAAAACTCTGGAGTGTGACTCGTAACTGCATTAAGAAATCAGTTTTTAAAAATTAAAATAGGATAGGAAAAAATTAGAATATACAGTACATAGTAAGGGTTAATATCTTTTCATAATACCATATGTACATAAAGAACACACACACACACACACATTCTGGATTGCAAGATAAATGCATTTCTTACTGGGCTTGCAGTAAAAAGACTTTGAAAGCCACTACTCTAGAGTGTGTTGTAGTGAGATAAGAGAAAATTTCACCCAATATTATCAATATACTTGCAAAATGGTGTACTGAGCCAGCAGCACTGGAGGAATTTAAAGGTCCAGAACTAAATATACAAATATTTATCTTTGGGAGAAATAGTCGGGGAGGGGGCATTGAACAAAACAAGACATACAAACTGAGCTGTAACCAGGACACAGAATATGGTACAGGATTCTGATTCCTATTGAAGTTACAACCAAGAGGTCCCATCTCCCAATGAGCACCCACTCCCAACACCAGACCTGTGCACAAGTCCAGCACTACTGGTATATCACCAACATCTTATATAAAAGAGCAGAAACTGTCTAGGAACACAGCTGATAACATCATATAATGATATAGTTTAGGATATTTTTTTCTTTTAATCAGATGGTACTTGATTTATCTGGGTAATCACTTCATAAGTTATATAAACGTCCGATCACTATGTTGTACACCCGAAACTAATATATATTGTATGTCAACTGTTAATGAAAAATAGTTATTAAAAATATTTATCTTTCTGATTGAACCAGAAAATAAGGGAGATAAAATGCCTGTGTGGAGAGCATTTTCACATATATTTTAATTCTCACAACGACCTGCTGAAGATATCCAACTTTAAAGCTACAGGGTCAGGCAGTAACTTTCCTAAAGTCACAGAGCTCCTAAATTGAAGTGTTGTTTTATTTATTGTTATCTTTAATACTAAAATTGTCCCATAGCATCAATATGCCTCTGCAATTAATTGTGCAATCAATGATTTCCATGTGCTCAGAAATTACCAGCTATATAATGAGTATATGATTCCAAATTAATCTCTGCCTCTTCAAACTAGTGATCAGTCTTTAGGCAAACAGACTAAGATTAATGTTCAGCAAGAAAAATATATACTTTGTTTCAAAGCCGAATTTGAGTGTTTAGTCATGCGTCTCACAGCAACAGAGAAACTATTGTCAACATCCAACAGCTAAGTGGATTATTAGTAGCATTTCATCTGAATTCTCCAGAAACTAATTTCTTAAATATTTTCACCCGGACACGCCGTGGAGAAGGGAGCGGGACCGACCGATGTACTGGCCTTCTCTGACCCGAGCCAGGCAGAGGAATCCGATACGCTGGAGAGTTCGGATATCAGCCATTAGGACGAATGGAGGCATCACTCGGTGTGAAGTTGCACCTGCCAAGTTTCTTAACACGCGATGCCCCCAACAGCAGCTCTGGGTGCGAAGTCGCGCGGACAGCGGCCCAGCCTCCTCCCGCGGGCGGAGCCCAGGTGCGCGCGGGGCCCGACCACCCGCCCTGGCCTCGCGGGGCCGCCCGGCCCGGCCCGCGGCCTGGCCCCGGAGCTCCGCGTCTCTGCGGGCCACGCTCGCGCGCCCTCACCTCCTCGCTGTGTGTGGACGGGCACTTCTTGCGCAGGCGGCCCCAGTTCAGCAGGTTTCCTGTCTGCAGGTGCAGGGTGCGGGCCCGCGCCAGGAGCGCCCGGGCCGCGCGGCTGTCAGTGCCCATGGCAGCGGCCGCCGGACGGGGCCAGGCGGAGATGGGGCCGCAGGCGGGGAAGAAGGCCGCCCCTCAGACACCGTGCCGAGGCCGCAAAGCCGGGCGCGAGGCTGCCTGCCCCGCGCGGCGGGACCTCGGCCTGCGTTCGGGCCGAGGGAGGCCGGGCGGCGGCGGCGGAACGGACGCCCGGGCAGGACGCGCTGGTGGCTGCGGCTCCTGCTACTGAGGCCGCCGCAGGAGAGCTGATTCCGAACGGAGGAAGCCGTTTCCTGGAAGACAATGACTAAGCAGAAATCGCGGCGTGTTAGTGCTTCGTAACCGTTACCAGCCCCGCAGCTAAGCCAAGCGGAGAGAGGCAGGGCGGGGCGGGGCGGCGAGTGAGCCGCGGGTCGCTAGCCCGCGGGGCACTGGCCTTTGCCCTGTGGCGGGCGTGGCGCAGAGAGGCGGGCGGGCGCGCGGGGCAGGGCGGGGCGGGAGCGGCGCTCGGCAGGGCTCCCCCTGTCGGTCAGAGGACAGTTTGCAGGATAGCGCCGCCTTCGAGCGCAGCCAACTTGGCTCGCGATCTGGCCTCCCAGCCAATGGGCGGTCACGCTGGTGATTTCCTTACACACCTCTTGAAAAAAAACAACACAGCAGCAGTATCTCCCAAGGCTTTGAAATGTTAACTGGTTTTAGTTTTAAAAAACAGCTGTTAATGCACAAGCGCCCCTTCTCCTTTGCTTTGCTCCCCTCCTCAAGTTCATTTTCTTCCTCAAAGGCCTTTCCCCAAGCTGCTCGGTTTTTTGTTTTTGTTTTTATTTTTAATTTTATTTATTTTTTTATCCTCACCCGAGTATATGTTTTACATTTATCTTCAGATAGAGTGGAGGAGAGAGAGGGAGGAAGAGAAACATCATGTGAGAGAGACACATCAAGTGGTCGCCACCCACGTGACCCCAACCATGGCCTGGGACAGACTGCAACCGAGGTCCCTGCCCTTAGCGGAACCGGACCTGGAGCTGAGCCAAACTGGCCAGGGCTAAGCTGCTGGTTTTTCATGTTCACTCATTAAAGGTCTCTTGACTTAAAACCTTTTGCTGGGCAATGAATGCGTGAAGTCCAAGAATAAGAGTCTTTGCCCTTGGAAGCCTACACTGTAGTTCCGGAGACAGGCCTAAGCATATCACACGAAAAAGTAAGAACGCAGTTTCCTGATGAGTTCAGATTAAAGAGAGCACTTAAACCGATAAGACCAGGGAAAATTTTTATCATCCATTCACTTAGATTATTTATTTCTATTAAACTTCATATATGGTACACTTAGTATACACCTCAAATTGAAGATTTATTGAGCTTTCTTCAAGAAACTTCTACTTTTGTTGAAAGTAATCAGATATATTAAAAGGCAAACTGCTGTTAAAAAGAAAGATGAATTCCACTTGGTAAGAATTAGGGGAGGGGTGGAAAATAAACTCCTCCTTCTAGTAGAGCCTGATCTTGAGTATTTGTTGTCTGAATGAAGTTGAATAAGAATTCATTGAGGAGAGGGGTAATCCCAGAAGCAGGAATAAACATGAGCTATTTTAATTAATGTAAGCATTTGATTCTTTTGCTGAATTTGCTTTGGCATTTCTTGACTTTTTGTATGTTCTCTAATACCATGCAAATAATTATTGATTAAAGCTTAGAGGTTACACCTCCTCAACTATTAGACCAGCCATCTTGCTGGGACTTTATAGCATACTAGTCACTGACATAAACCTGTATGGCTTACACACCTGACTTTATTAGGCTATTTTAACTTAGGTCACTTAGTCTCTCTGTGTTTTTACTTTCTCCAGTCTGGGCAGATGATCTTTTAAACCATATGAAATTGCTGATAATTGATCATTTTTGATGTACACAAATGGCTAATTCCCAAGGTTTCACCTAATATAGTATTGACCACATTGAGTAGGTATGAGGAATTAATGAGAGAATGTATGAAAAGCCCTTAGTACAGTGCTTGGCTCATAGTAAATGCTCAGTAATTGAGAGCTCCTATTATTAATGCTTCTGCTTTCCCCACTTATAGTCCAGTTCTCACAACATTGATACATTCATGACATGAATTCACAGCACCATTGCTATTTAAAAAAATTTACATATGTAAAATCCTTTACTCTTCACAGCAATTCAGATAAAGAAATTTTCTCGAAAAGCTTACTACTATTAATAAGTGTTGGGGTCCCAATCAAAACCTAGATTATTCATCTTCAAACTCCTTACTCTTCTATACTACAATTTACTCTATGACACAAAAAGTGTATTTATTGTGGTGATTTTAATTCTTGAATATGCATGT